GGCCGCACTGCAAATGTATAAATCTTGTTAGGGTGAAGTTGTGTAGTCAAGAAAGTTTTTAAATGCATTAATAAAGCCATTTGGTTTCGAATACGCAACGCATAATTGCTGGAGCAAAAGGTTAAGAAATTAATAAAAATTATTCTTGTTGAACCATAAATGTTATTTGTGATATATACAAAATAGCTGTAAAGACGACTATTATAACATTATAATACCAACATGGGAATTGAACCAAAACCCCAATTGTCATCAGTGTTTTTAATGACTTTGCCACTATTTCAGCTACTTATAACAGAGTTGTAATCTTGCTTAAGTTAATATATCTTAAGTTCTCAATCCATCAAAGTAAACCCTTTTGCCTTTCCAATCAAGATAAGTTATATGGCTAATTATTGGTAATTGCCAGTAGCTAAAAGTTTTGATTGCACATGCATAGCTTAAATTTCGATTATTTAAGTCTTGAGTTCTAATCAGTTATCAATGCTCAAGTTAAATGAAGACAACTTAACTACTTAAAAGAGAATCCATCTACAACATGTCGAATGGTCTGCTGGTGGGTCTTCACAATCAAGCGCAGACATTGCTAATTGCAAGGCACTTTCATTAGGTTATCTATGCCCACCATACCTGGAGCAGTAAATAGAATCATCAGAGTTCGATAAACGTTATCAGCCCATCACTTTTATGGCCGCTGATTAATGAAGTCAAGCGTCGAGCGTCGATTGCCGTCGGCAGCAGCTCATTAATTGCTCCAATGCCAACTTGGTTGTAAATACGGCAAAGAGCAGACCCAACTCAACCAGCAACATCTGGAGGCAACGGCAACAGTTGCCGCTTGTTGTTGCTGTTGTTGTTGTTAGGGCTGCTTCTGTTACTGGTGTTGGCGTTGGTGCTGGTGCTGTTGCTGTTGCTGTTGCGTTGCGCCTCATTGTCTCCGCATGCCTCGCATATTGCCCTGCCTGTCGGCTCTTAAGCGGCCGACTGCAACATTCTTTGCTGACAACGCAGTAATTAAAATTCAATTGCAATTAAAAGTGCGCACGCAAAACAGCCAACGACAAACAAAATGAAGCACACTGCCACAAGGCGCAAGAGGGCACAGAGAGCGCATTGTAAAAATTTGTCGCATAGCCAACATTTTGCCTGCTCGTCGTTTGTCTGCTGTCTGATGTCGGCTGTCTGCTGCCTGTTGTCTGTTTGTCTGTTTGTCTGCTGACTGTTCTTTCCACTCTTGTCGATTTTCAACTTGTTCGCACATTTTCGCGTAGGCGTTTGACGTGCCGCTGATTAGCTTGCAGTTCTCAGCGTTAGCCAAATGTGTGTGCGACATATGAGAATGCTCTCGGTCGACTGTAAATATTTGTAAATGCGAAATTTGCTTAGTCAACAGCAATGGCAAATTGGCCGGGCCAAGCGCCGAGTGCCGAGTACTGAGCGTCTGGGAAAAGTTTTATAATCATCAGTGTTTTCCGCGAAACACGTAGAAATATATATATATATATATATATATTTTAGAAGAAAAATTCGTAATTAATTTAACAAAATACATGCAAATGTCAACTGCCGAACCGACCCTTTAGTGGCCTTTGTTTCCATTGCTGCAGTTCGCATGAATTTTGCATGTCTGCTGTCAGCAGAAAATTTGAATTATTAATAAGCGCAAAATTAATAGGAATTATAAACAATTACATCACAAAGAGCTTGCTGCTGCTATTGACTCGGCACTTTCGTGTGCATTTAAAGGTTTTTGCTTGTGAAGCTAATGACCGTTTAGACAGGTGCCAAAAAGAGCTCAAATCAAATGTTGTCTATTCTGATAAATACACGTATCAATTGGTGTCTGGCAACTGGCTTCACTGAAAGTAGCAATTATTAATATCAATTAGACAATTAATTGTTGTTATACATATATATATATATATATATATATATATATATTTATGTGATTATCATTAATCTGTGCAGCATGTGATATGAAGTTCGCTTCATATCTCGCAATAAACACATGCAAATCCAGTTCATGGTCAACTTGATGCGAATTTCAATTTGACAGATGCCAATCAGCTTGTTTCTGTTCATGATTCTGGTTCATTAGTTTGGCATATGATCTGAAAGCAAACACATACACAATATGTATATGTACACACATATTTATATGTATACTGTAGAGTTATGCATGCTGTTTACACACACTCTCATATCATATATCCACAAACAAGATTGAAGGGGTATAACCAAGCTATACAGGATATAAGCTTTTAAGCTTTAAACAATTATTTTGAAAACAACCACGACAACACCTTACACCTTACAAATCGCATTTGCAAGCGTAATATCATGTTGAATACATTTAAATTGGTGTATCATCCTTCAATTCTGAGATATTTGTATTTATTTAAGAAAAAAATAAAACACTTGAAGTATGTTTGTGAAAATATCTTAATGAATTCCAAAGGCTAGTTGAGTAGTTTCGAGTGAAGCATTCCGATTTCTTTGCTTTATTACTTGGCTCTCATACACTCTACGAATTTAAGACGCATTCATCAATAATTATTAAGTCGAAATTGCATACATTATTTAACAGAACAATTAATAAATATCTTATAATATTTGTAGGTATCTTTAAAATGCAATTAGTTCCGAACTCTCAGTCCCCATTTCTCGCAGTGGCATCATTCATACAAGGAAAACCCCTCTTAATTGTCACGGCACATTTGGGAAATAATTCTGAAATAATTTCATCAATTATGGTACTCAGCTGGGGAGCGGCGGGCGTTGCATGCGTTGTTGCCGTTTCAATTATGTTGATATTAATTTTCATATTTAATTTAACGCGAAAATAAAATGGCAGCACGACTGACCGGCAATCACACGCACAAACACATTTACACATCCTCATCGAATCGGTCGAATCGTAAAGAGGTAAATATATATTGTGCATGTGTGCTTACACAGGAATAAAGCAACGACCTTTGTAAAATGCATTTTGCAGTAAAAACCGCATGCATTATTTAAATTTTAAGTGAAATCAATTATAAGCTCGTTGGTATTGGCCTGAAAAGGGACCGAGACGGGTGGCGGCTGCTCCAAGGCTTTTGATGTTAAATGCCAACCACCGACGAATGACAACAAAGGGGCACAATCCAGTCGGTGCAACAGCAGCAGCAACAGCAGCAACTGCAGTTGCAGAGTGTGAGGGCGACGGAAGTGCGCATAAATGCAGTTGCAGTCGAATAAATAAATAAATAAAAATATATTTTGCCATTAAATTTCAATTAATAACAACGCAAACACACACACGTGCAGCGCATCAGCGACAGTTTGCAGTTGCTTTTGTTGTTGTTGGTGTTGTTGCTGCTGCTGCTGCTGCTGCACTCACAGCTGCGGCTGGTGCTGCAATATTAATACATTTTGGCAGTCGTGCGTGCGTTGATTGCCGCAAGCCCATGAAATTAAGTCACAAATTAATTAATTAATGCAATCAATACGTGCGACATTTGCATTTGCAATTACACTTCGGCTTATGACTGCGCAGTGCTTGGCTGCAAGTCAAATACAACAATTTCTTATGCTCTAAATTTGGCTATACATACGTATACTGAATGTATGTAAGTACATACACACATATCTAAAGAGCTAACCAGTCCGCTAAGGTTGCTCTGGACGAACAACACCTAAACAGGAGTCCAGTACGCCAAAGCGAACATAATTTTTTAATGGACTTTTAATGTTTGTCGCCTGCATTTAGCTGGCGTTTATGTGTGTGTGCGTGTGTATGCGTGTGTGTCTGTGTGTGTATGTGTCGCGTGAGCTTTTTGAGGTCAACTTGATTGCCTGTGCACAATTAGCGGCCGTTGGTACTTAACATGTGTAAGCAACATAGGTGGGTTTTCCGGCTGCTTTTCATTATGAAGCAATTGGACTTTTATGTGAAGAGTATAATTTTGGCTTTTAAATATTAGTTTAGGATAATTCACTCGAATCTACATTTAAAGGCGTTAAACAGTTTAGTTTGAGTGAGTTTTATTTACTAATATACATATATATGTACATATATATAAATTAAAAAAGCTAAAATAGCTGCAAAACTAACAACTTTTAAAAGTTTCTCGGCTTTTGTGCTTCTTTTATTTTGTATCTTTTAAACAACTTTAGTTTAACTATTTTTATATAAATAACTGCTTATTTTGTGTAGTTATATGCACTGCTTACTCATGTTATTTATACTGCTTGCTTGAAGCTTATGCTCACGCGCAACAGATGACGCCACCCATCTCCCACTTCTATAACTATATACGCTTACAACATATTTAGTTTCGCTAGTTGCTGCTAGATGGCGCAGCTCAAAGGTGAATGGTTGATTGAAGTGATAATATTAATAATAATAATAATGAGGGCTTTGCGAATAGCTCCTGCTGGCAATTACATAAGTTTTGCAGACATATCAAATAAACAAATATTTCGTGTAGAGTTTTTGATATTGTTATTCTTTTCGAGTGGGATATTTGATTACTCCACCTGGTATTTTTGGCAGGTTGCTGTTTAGGATATGCACACTAAAAAGGTTGGTGTATTGGCAAAAGTCTGTAAAAATTTGCAGCATACTTCTCGGAACTCCCATGTTTGCGGAAAAGGCTCTCACTTGGCCAAATCCTTACATATTTTAAAATGATATAGTTCCTTAGAATCGCAAGGACAACCTCTATCAAACTATATTCAAGGATTATTAAGTCATTCAGCAATCCAAACACTTGTAGAAATGTCACTGCGTAGGGAAGGGATATAAGTTCAAATTACGAAATCCTTGATATCTCAGAAATTCCAAAAAAGATGTATATGTCCTTGGCCAAATAGTGCCGGATTTTTAAATGTTTCTCGCTTGTGCAATTATTCTTTTAATGCCAATCGATAGTTCTTCCTCCTGCGAGCCAAAAAAAGTCTGTATTCATTCGAAATCATTAATATGGACGAAATAAGATTAAAATAATTGATTACAGTTATTTTTTGCACATTTCAAAGTAATTTTATTGTGTTTCTTTTCAGTTGTATCTATTTGATTATGTATAAGTAATACATAGGGATATGCTTCGCTTTCCACACACCATTCCTTGACATTGGTTGGTTTGGTTTTATTTGTCATTACTGCCTGTAGTAGTTGATAACTCGTACTTGTCATACATTTATATTATCGTAGCATACAGATATATAGATAGATATACATAGATATACATTCATAAAACTATATCGCCAAAAAGGGCATTTACAATATATTGATCAAGGATCATAAGGTTCATACATGTACATACATACATCAATAATATATACGATGTGCCTAAAACTAGCATTAACTCCGATACAACACCATAAATATTTGAATTGCATTTGAAAACATGCTTATAAAGGCGTTGCTTAATATTACCCAATCAAATAATTTTTTTTTACTGGTTGAAACCGAACCAATGCAATTTGTCGTTAACTTGGTAAGCAATTTTGTTGAGTGTATTGGGGTTAGTAATTTAACTTAAAATTACAGAATTTGACTAGCTGAATTTGCTTTACATATTTAAAGGTTGGTTTCTTCTGATTTCTAGAAATGTTTATCTATGTTTAACGTTTTACACAGTGCGAAGTCTACAAACTAATTAACATTAAAGATATTGGGGTGCCATAAACATAATTTGAAGCTTTTGTAAGAAATCATAAAAGTACATTTGTGATATTTATGTGTTGAGTATTTTGGATGTTAGATTTCGTTTCGTAAAGTAAGAGTTAAAGTTAAAGTATGCATAAATTAAGACCACATATAAATATAATACAGTAAATTATAGTTAAACAAAAAACGTATTGAAGCTTTTGTAAACAAGATTTTGGAATTATCATAACTAGTTAAGTATTTACAAAAATATATATTATTTTAAAATATATATGTCTATATATCTTTTTACTGCCCTCGCTCTGAGTAGTGTATCTTAAAAGTTCAATGTGGTCCAGGTTGTTTGATTTATCTACTCGTTGGGGTTGTAATATCGAAATGCTTGCGAGAAGTGTGGGTTACACTTGTATCTATATAGATCCATATTAAACCTTACTCTCGGGCCCATCCGCGACATGCTTGAAGGCCTGACGTATGCGGGCCAAGTAATGTGAGCAAATGTGCCCATAGTTCTTGTTGTACCACTCCGGTGTCTTGCCCCTGGAAGTAGGCAATTATTATGTTACTTTCTATAATATATATATATATATATATATATATATATATAATATATATATATATATATAGATGCTGTCTTTGCTTACTTGACATCCACCCGTGCCAAGTGCATGACTCGGGAACGTCCACTGCCGCAGGGTTCGATAAGGTAGCGGGAGGCCAGGACGACGCCACGCACAGCACAGAACAGCGGCTTGGCCTTGGCATGATCGATTGACGTTTCCACAATGACACAGGCACCGCGCGGCAAATCCGTTTGCCAGGATCTAAAATACATATTTGGCTTAGCAGTTGTCATGGTGGATAATAATGTGGGTAATCTTATCCACTTACCGCAGGACACAAAAGTCTGTGGTCAGCTGACCATCCAGAGCATACTGATAGATTTCGGTGCGATCGTCCAGCTTCTTAACGGTTTGGCATTGCAGCAGATTGGGATCCCAGGAGGCACGCTGTTTGATTATGTACTCGAGTACCTCACGCGGCGGACCCTCGATTTCCGTGGAGCAGCGCCAGAGACGCAATGGATGACCATCGCCCACTTTTTTGTAAGCAATGTCCACGTTGCTGTCGTTCAGTGAATTGATCGTGATCCAGCTTCGCGTTCTGATTAGAAATAAACATATTATTCAGATTAGTTTACAACTTTCGACTATAATAATAAAATACTTATATTTACAAGCAAACTGTAAGCTACTTACTTCTCGCGTCCCTCTTTAATGGTGGCACTGGTGCACTCGTATAGGTACCCGCGCCAGTTGTGGAATTGCATGCCCTCGCCGAGAGCCTCCAGTGGCACGGGCTTTGACTCCTCCATGTAACCAAAGTTGCATTTACCGAGCTTCTCCTTGGAGGCCGTATATATGGGCTTGTAGTGCTCGATCATAAAGGAGAGACATTCGTGGGAGGCCTTCGCCTCGGCCAGCTCTTTCATATCGGGCATGCCCGAACCCTTGCCCTTGCGTCGCGGCGATGCCGAAACGGATGCGGAGCCTGTTGAGATGGACGAGTGGAATATGGACTGGGCCAGGCAGACGCCCAGATTGTTGCTGGTCATTTGGTTCAGCTGCGAGTTGGCAGCCACAATGGTGAGGAACTCCAGCAGCACATAGAGTATCTCCCGGTTCTCATCAGGTAGCAGGAGTACAGCACATTGAACCGCATCCAGGCGCACCTCAGCGGGTAAATCTAGTGAAATAACATGCCAATTATTTTAGCCATTCAGAGGACTATATTTGTGGTTAACTTACGCTGAAAGATGGCCACAAAAGTCTCGGACATTTTGGTGGTTAGCAGCGATTCGGGTAGCTCGCGGAAGTATTGCTTGAGCATGTCGGCCACATCGTATGCCTGCTGCAAGTCGAACACGTCCATGCACTCTGCCGTGGACTCGGTAACCTCGATCTGTTCTCGCAGCTTCATGATGCGCGACTTGCCGCCACTCTTGCGGAAGAGTCCCACTTGGTCGAGAGCGTTTAGCTGCAGCCAGCGGAAAGCAGAGCGCACCACCAGCGGAAGGGTTTGACCGCTGCGCTGAAGGATTAGAAGAAGTGGTACTCCGAAGACCTTCTTGTCCTTGTAGTCGGGCATCTTAATCTTCTTGATAAACTTGGGCAGCTCCCAGTTCCAGCCGGAGCGATGGCTGGGGCAATAGCGTTCCATGTAGCCCGTCAGTGTGACCAGAGCCAACTTGCGAATGATTTGCAGCTGGCCAGCTGACATGGCAGCAAAGGGAATGCCAGCATCCTCTTCCGGGACATGGGGCTCGATCTTTTGGGAGAAGCATTTGCGAAAGATCATATTGGGACGCTCCTCCATCTGGAAGCTATGCCAGCGCACCACTGGCTGTCGCTTGGAGCTGGCAGTGTGCTCCTCCTCGTTCTTCGGCTCCTTGCGGGATGTGCTACGCGAACGGAAGGAGGACGAACGGATGCCATCCCGTTTCTTCGCATCCTTGCCCAGATTGAGTGAGCCGCCGCGCGTTAATTTCTTGATCTTCACCTCAGTGGTATTGGAATTGGCATCCTTGATGAGCAGCTTGCGTCCCTGATGGCACTCAGAGTCGGAGTGGGCACCAATGTCGTCCACCTTGCCGGAGCGCTGCAGGAAACGTCTAGCCTTGGAGGGTTTGCGCAGGGATAGCGATAGTTTGCCGCCCGTCGACGACTCTTGACTGTCGCTGTAGTAGGAGGAGGAATCATCCGACTTGCCCTCCTTCAGCTGGGTCATCGGGCTGGAAAAGAAGTGCAGCGGACTTGTTCGCATCGAGCGGGGTGTTGTGGGCGTGCGCTTGGGACTGGAACGATTGGGACTGAGGAAGTTCTCGCTATGACTGGGCACCTTCAGCTCGTTGCCAAAGAACGGCACCTTGGGGAATGTGTGTATGGGACTTAGAGCCGACGGCGAGGGGGGCGTGGAGTAGACGGCGTCCGGTTTACGCAAACTGCTACGCTGGCCCAGCTGTGCCAGATCAAGCACTTGGGGTCCACTAATTACCACATTCTCCCGATTCTGGCGCTTGCGACGTCGCGACTTGATGGACTCGACACGCCGCAGGAAGGCCTTGGCGCCATCCTTGAAGCGCTCACTGCCCGAGCGACGCAGACGTGCTCCAGCTCCATCGGAGCTCTCGAGCAGGGAACTGTCATTGGCGTCACCCTTGCTGCTGCTGCAGCCGGGTATCATCAGGGTGATGCCAGCGCCGCCAATGTCATAGGTATCGTCATCAAACCGATCCGGACTGGACTCCTTGGAGGAGCTCTCGGTTTTCTCCAGATTGAGATGTCCCGGCGGTGGCAGCTCTAAACCCATTTCGCCAATGCGCGACCAGCGTCGAATGTGTGGTTGGAATGTCCAGTTCTCGCTAAGCGCAAAGTTCTCATCATCAGATTCCTCCTTCTGCTGCGAAATCGAATGCGAGATCACAAATTAGCTGAATCCTTGCTGCGAAACATTTTGCAACTTACCTGTGGCGTCTGCGGCTTGTGTGACTGATCCAGTCGCATGTTGGCGCAACGATTGAGAACACAGAGTCGCCGATAGAGCGACTGCAGCTGATCGTTCTCAAGATTGGTGTGATCTTTGGCTACATTGTTGAGTTCAATCGGAAACTGATGATCTGCAATAGGCAAAAAAAAATATTTTTTTTCAATTGATGCTGATTATTGGCCAGTGTTTGTTGCTGCTGCTGCTGTTTGCTGCGTCCGCACACTTCGACGGCGAATGAAATTCTAATTGAGAAACCAGAAAAATCGAGCGCCTATTGCGCCTACAGTCGCAACGGCTAGGCGCCCATTAAACACTATATACATATGCAAATAAATGAGTGTGAGTGCGAGTATGGAAGATATTGGCGCTGTGTCGCGCTGCACAACAATTTCACAGAGTTTTTCCACATAGTTATTTGCGTGGCCAATTTGCACGTAGGAAATCAAGTTGGCAGACAACGACGACGACGACGACGACGACGACGTCGACGATGGCGAGAGACCAGCGACCACATAAAACAGATACGCCAGACATTTACACATGTCGCGTCGCACTGTTACAGATACAGATGCAGATACATTTACAGCTACGGCTACGGCAACAGGGAGTCAGGCTAGCTGGCTAGCTGCCTAGCTGAGTGGCAGGCGATGCCGTGAGATACGAACTGTGGCAGTTCCGTAGGATGCACGCCTGAAAAAGCTGGCGCGACTGACTGGGCTCAGTTGGCGCTTTTGTTTGTACAAATATTGTTACCATTTACAACAATTATCTTGTGCCTCTTGAAAAAAAGAAGAAAAAAAAACCGATAAAATAAAAACGATTCGCAGGTTGTTGAACTTTTGACGATCCCGATTGGCCTCAAACCCGATCCCTTGCACTATTCCTGTAAGCTTTTTATAATTTTGTTTACGTCGCGCAGACAGTTTTTTCTGTTTTCGATTTTTTTTTTTGGTCTTGTTGTTGTTGTTGGGTTATTTATAATTTAATTTAATTGTTTTCACTAAACGTTGTGTTTAGTTTCTAATTGTATGCACTTTGATGCTAATGAAATAAACAGAATTGCTCAAGACCCACCCGCCACCAGCCACCAGCACATTGGAGACCCAATTTTGAGAGTGTACCACTTAATTCAATATGTGGTGGCATCCACCCGGCGGGTGGTCCCAATAACCGCAGACCCCTCCAAACAGCAGCGGGAGCAGTAGCATCATTATCAACATCATCGGCCCCGCTCCGCTGACGTCATAGTGAAATTCTTGGTAAACTTTTTTTTTGAGTTTTTCGACAGTTTACAACAACTTACAGGGCAGCGCCCGGAATCGTTCAGTGCCGGTATTCAGTTTATTGGGCCAATCATATGATTAATTTTTCGCCATCGCACAATGGAAATGGAAAAGCGAAATGTTTGTTTGTATTAGAAAGCAGCAGCAGCAGCAGCGGATGACGCAGTCTGCAGAAATATACATCTTTTTTTGTAATAAATTCGTATTTATGGTTAATTTGGGGAAAATTTGGAAATCATTAAGAATAGATTTGGACATTTGCGGCAGCTGGTTTGTTGATACTATTGAATTGGGTAATCACAAAGTTGTGGAAACTTGTTGTTCATATTAAAGACCGGTTGTCTTATAAATCATTCTCCATTCCAGCCATAATCGAACTTCGTTCGGTCTTAAGCACTCACATATGGATGTGGATGTGGACACGGTGCAAGTCACACCCTCGAATTAAGGCTGCCACTTTTAGTGAATAATGTGCGTATGGAATGAAAGAGCTTGAAGAGAACGCAAAACAAACAGAAATTACACAGGGTCTTCTTATTTTCTTGTTTATTTTTGTTCCTCTTCAATTTTTTATTTTCTTTCTTCTTTTTTTGGATTTGTTTTTGTGGCTGTAAGAGTAACCATAAGCAAATTAACAGCCGCTTACAGCTGCTACACCTCCTTTCAGCAGCATCGAGTCCAAATGACATAGCAATAAAGCGCTGAACTGAACACCTACGGCATTTCAATCTGCACAAACGCAGACCAAACCCAAAAGAATCCCGAAATCCTGCAGCACAAATCCAACTTGGTTATATTTGAGGCAACTTCTGCGCATGCGCCGCTGCCTTGTTTACTCGAAACTCATTAAAATACGCATTTATCATGTGTGGCTCGGCGATGGGCTGGGCACTGTGGTGCTCGTTGTGGTGCAGCCAGATACAAATTCGGTTCTCCTCCTCCTCTTCTGGCTGTGGCGAATTTATGCAACCAAATGGGCATATTTCAAGGTCGGCGACAGCCCGCATACAAATAAACATGCAACACATACAAATCATCTGTGTGTGCGTAAATTGTAAGTCGTGTGCAGCAAATGCAGATCGGGCTGAAGCATTCGGGCGCCTCGGGTTATGCCCAAAACAGCGGGTTCTTCATTTCAGATTCACTTTTTTTTTTTTTGTTAGTTGTTTTTCGGCTCAGTTTTACTCATAATTCAAGTGAAGTCGGCGAACGTTTTTGGCCAGCTCAAAGGAATTTGATTTTTTTTATTATTTATTTGAATTTGCAGATTTGGCGGCATCATCCATCTGAGCGGTCTTCAGGCGTTAAATGCAAAGCGACGGCTCACAAGAAGCTCGGCGACAAATGCGCAAAGCAACCAGTGATTGCCGAAGGGTGTGGAGTGAAGGCACACGGGGGGCGGGGGGATCTGCGTGCGGCGATAACGATTAAGAGACCCAAATAAATATGTAGCTTGGCTCGGGTTCAATAAACCCATACTAACATTTTGGCTAGTGGCTGAGCAGGGGCTCTGCCCTCCGTGATCATGAAAAAAACGAATGATGCAAGCGAAAAAAAACCAGAAAATAATAAAAAACGAAACCATTTTAATTTCGGTGCTCGAAATCATCGTCTTTTTTTATATTCTCATACAAAGGTGGTCTTTATAAATTCTTGCGCAACGTGTCCTTTAGCCTTTTATTATATTTTATCTGCGCTGCGCAGCTTGATGAGTTTTTAGCAAGTTCTTCGGTTGGTGTTGTTGCTGTTGTTACCTGTGCTGTGTGTGTGTGTGTGTGTTTTTGGATATGTTTTTATAAAATTCTTTCGGGCCACGATCACACAAAGTTGGGGTGTTTCTTTGCTTTCGTTTTTGCTTGAGAGCAGTTCATTCGCTCTCTGGCTCGCTCCTAATTGTTGTCGCGCCGTCGTGCTGAGGATATCAGATTCACTTGGCGGTTGGCCAGCATATCAATGGCATGGCATTTTAGCTGGGGTGTCGGAATCTTTGGATGCTGTGCGGTTCATTGCACAACGCTCAACAATGAGCTGCGCGTGATCCAGCACTAAAAATTTGTTGTGGCTTGTTCTTTTTAACAAAAAGTGAAGAAACAAAAAACTTGCCACGTCATAAATGCTGAGCTGACCAACTGGGTTTATTTGATGGCTATTTATTTTAGTGGCAGGCGAAAGTGAAAGTTCGCTTCATGAAATTAATAAATGCCACTGGGGAAGCGTAAAATACTCCAAGCAAAATAAAGACTAAATGGCAAGACAACTACTCGAGTCACTCCTGATGACGTCGCCACCAACGTCATTGTTGGCGTCAAGCGAGACCATCAATTACTCTGACACTGGCACGGCACAGCCCACGTGGCCACGCCCACGAGGCGAGCATGTTCAACGTGACATGGCCAAGTCTTAGGCAGGCGGAAGTGCGTGTTTTTTCTCCTTTTTCTTATTTTTTTTTTTGTTTTATTGAGTACAACTCGTACAAGTCGACTTACCTTCGTACATTTGCGCGTATTGCGGAAAACCAGCCGCCCGCAGCCATTTACATGCCTCCACGGCTTCGATTTCTATAAAAGAAAGAAAGAGTATGGGATGAGTGATGGTGGTAGGAAAGAGTATTGCTATTTCGCATACAAATCATGTTAATTGTAATTAAATTGTTGTGCAAATTCTTGGGACTGACACAACTTCAATTATGGTCTGAATTGCGCTTTTATTTCAGTGAAGTGAGCGGTTTTGTTAAAGTGGTGCGTGGTGCGTTGTGGTGCAGCCATTGTCTTCAGACATGGCCACTTGATGGATTATGTTGTAAGCTGTCCAAATGATGTCGACGTTGAAAGCGTTGAGCCGCGAACTTTTGCTGACTGACGGCGCTTTAAAATATGTTTTGGTTTTGCCTCTTGGCCATTACTGATTTAAACAACATTTTTTTGGCTGCCTGTTTTGTTGGCTTGATATGAAAGTAAAAGTTACGAAGAATTCTTCGAACATTGAAGGATGATTTTCTGGCTGCCTAAGGCAAATTATAATTCATCGCACCAGTAACCTTTACTTTTGTTCTTGACAAAAAAAAAAAACAAAATTTATATTTACTGAAGCTTAAATACCTAATTTATGTCATTTGGCGCTTCAATCAATCCTAATATATTTATTTTACAGCATAAGCATTAGCAAAAGCAACAAATTGCCCAACCACTGCTCAGAAATAGGCAACAATTTCTTTTGTAAGCAACCATCGAATATATGAATGCCTTTTCGATTCGTCTGCCACAGCAGAGCTAAACATTCAATCTATTCGTGATACTCGCAACCAATTGTGACGCAAGATAACAATAAATAAATATATATCTGTATCTATATATATATATATATTGCTCATCTATATATATGTGATAGCTGAGCTGCTATTTTAAATGCTAATCTGTTCTATTTTACATTGTTCGTTGGCTTTCAAAACGAAATCAATTTGAGTCACACTTCTAGCGCAATACAGGCAACGTAGAGGTAGACCTTGTTTTTACCTGGACTATTGATTTTTAATCAACTTTGTAGAGCAGGCAGTAACACACACATAGAACGACAACATGAAACACTTTCCGGCTGCTTACTGTCAAAGCAACATTCTGTGTGATTGAGGGCTGATGCATAGGGAGAATTATTATTGAATTTTGCAAGCGATTAACTTGCACGATGGCCGGATAGGATGACGGTCTATGGAACGAACTGGGCCAGTTGCCTGTTGCCAGTTGCCAGTTGCCAGTTGCCTGTTGCCAGTCAGCCAGTCAGCCAAGCTGCAATGCTGGCAGCTTGTTTCCTGTGAAAGGGTTCACTCGTGTCTCTGGTTCTATTTTTAAATCAGCCACACACAACCCCCTAGCATGCATTTCAAATCCATTCAAGTTAACTGGAGATTGTAGCTATTACTTACTCTAGATATAAACACACTTGACCCACCCTAAAGCGATGTCAGCTTTAAAGGGCTTTAAGAGTATTGTTGAGTAGACTGACATGCTCTACAAATAATACTGGACAATATCGAGACAATTAGCCACACTGCGCCCATAATTACACAAAGTGCTGCAGGTGGCAGGTATCCAAAAATAGCCAAGCAACAGCTCATTAAATATCCATGCGTATGCAAAGGACACCTGGCGATAACAACTCTTCCTCTGACAGCAACAACAACAACAGCAACAACAACAACAAAGACATCATCTAACAATGCGAATGCCACTTGAGCGTTATTAAAATTGCGCATACGCCGCGTTTGTCATTGCTGAGCCACTTGCTCATCTAAATGCCATTTAAAGTGTGCACAATATTGTTATGGACGCTTGTTGGGAGGCGTGTGCTGCGAAGTTTATTGCGCCAGAGTCAATATTTGTTGTTGTTCCTGGTCACACAAAGGCCAAACGTTCGCCCACACGATTGACGGGGCGGGGCGGGGTGGAGCGCGGGCGGTGCAAACATTCCCTTTGTTGTTCTTCCCGTTCACATTGTGCGATTCATTTTCGACGTTTGGTCGTGTTAAAAATTTTAAAGCCAAACTCGCGCAAATTTCTGCAGTTGGTTTTACGTTCGATAATTATTTTCCTGGATGGTTTGCGTGTGTGTGTGTGTGTGCGTGTTTGTGGGGCGTGGCTTAGGGCGAGCTTATGCCGATGGAGTCGGTTGATTTAAGTGCGCAGCGATAACATGCGTATAAAAGTAAATCGGCTCAGGATCTAATTAAAAATCTGCTTTAATTGGAATGACCTTAAATTAAATCGATAACGATATAAACTGAGGAGCGCTTAAAGTTGTTGCTTGCGCCTGCTGAATTTTATAGCAAAATTTGAAATTAACTAAATTAGATGTTGTTAATTGAAAACAAACAAGATTTAGTTGTCTCTAAATTTGAAAAAAATTCAATTTCTTATGACTTGAACGGCTTCTAATCAATTGTTAGGGGAACTTCATTGTGGTGAATGCTTTAATGGAAAAAGAATCCTTAACACAATTACTGCGTCAAGGATATTCCGCTGCGTAGTCGGCTACTGACTGACTGTCTCCACTTGAGTGAGTCTGATTGTGTGTGTATGTGTGTGTTGGCTGTCAGTGTCAGTGACATGCTTTGTCTTTACGCGTGCTCCAGAAAACGTTTAGTTAACCATACACATACATTCACTCACACACAAGCATACGCACACACACACACACCCACACAACACGCACTGCATGCAAATGACACACACTTCCGATTGAGGCTAACATCGTAGTATGGAACTTATATAAAATGTGTTAATATAACCAAGGCATAAACATACTAAGCTTTGTTATTTAACACTGGCTGAACTGGCTGAACTGCAATCCATGCCTGAACGAACGCATGTGAATTGTTGCGTTTGCCACTGGTGTTCGTTGCACGTGGCACGTGGCACGTGGCAATGGCCGTATGCGTTTCAAACAGGCCAAAATGTTTGCACTTGATTTGTTTTTCACACAAACTCATTTTGTGCAAAGTTCAAAGCATGAAATGAAATGTTTATCCAACTTGATAAAATGTTTTGTTACCTTGGTTTTGTTGTATGTTTGTAACAATATTGCCCTTTCAAAAATGTTAATAATAAATAATTGTGTTACGAGCCTGAACGATAATTGAAAATTAATTTAGTTAAATGAAACTTATGGCTACTGCCCTCGGCAGCATTTTGTGGTGCAATTATTGTTGCTGACGTGACAACCATTATGCATTAAAGTTTGTGCACATATCCATCACTAAGTGCCGCGTTGGTTGGCCGTTTATGGTGCGATTTTGAAGCTAATCGCATAGCCGCAGGAGCAACTGCCACAGCAGCTATTAGTATTTTTAAGGCTATTATGGACAAATCCGACAATGCCTTATAACGAGTAAGTGCGCACATAACTCACATAAGTGTATGCAAAAATTTTAAATATATTTCCTGCATCTGCAAAATGTGAAATTATCTGATGCAGTCGCTTTGTTGTAGGTGTCTGCTATTAATTAATTGCATTGTACAGCCGCAGATCATTGTCTTGGTTGTTGGCTAAACACTTACGTAAATGTCATTTGAATCATAAATTTTAGTCAAAACTGACAACAAAAGACGCATGCAACACATATTTGCTTTGCATTGGAATTAGTTAGGTTTTCCTATGCTTAATAAATAACAACTTTACTGGGAAATAAAATCAACAGACTAAGAATGCACTTTACGGAAAGCTTAATTAAAACAAAATGTTGTCAAAATGTAGTTATTTTGTTATTATATAATAAATAACAATATTATTTCGGAGCAAAAACAACAGACTAGAAATACACTTTATTGGAAGTTTAATTAAAACAAAATATTGTCAACATTTAGTTCTTTTGAGGCTTAGGCGACACTCAAAATAACAGTCGGTCTTATAAATATACATAGATTGAACAGAGAGAGAGAGAGAGAGAGACACAGAGAGAGAGAGAGAGAGAGAGAGAGAGAGAGAGAGAGAGAGAGAGAGAGATAGTCAGAGTGAGAGGTTAGGGGTATTTGCACACAAATTTTCTCTTCAATGCCCTCATCTGGCTGGCTGGCAAAGGATCAAGTTATTTATAAATGTGTGCATAAGGCACAAGGTAAGCTGCCGTTCTAATATCTACAGATTGTGTGCGCGTGCCAAGGCATGCGGATGAGTTGCGTCCAGAGGCTGGGTGCAACAAGTGGCAGGCTGTCAGTTCAATTTGCCGTGAACTTGACGATGAGCCACGCAGCTCTTGTTGCTGATGAAAATGCTTGACTTGAAATTAGCCCAAAGAACGCTTCAAAGCAATAACTTAGCCATGGCTACTGAGACAACTTCTCAGAGACTGTATCCAATTTGAGATGCCCACCTGCCCTGCTTTGATGTGGTCCAACAGAAATAACAGATCATTGAGCTCTTAATGCGTTTTTAATGTCAGCGTATTATACGCCGCATATTTCCTGCTGAGCCATCGAGCGGGAGGTCGTCTACCCCTGCCATCCACCCCACCCCGTCGACCCATCCAATGCCGCCCGCATACAATAAAAATAATTCAGCCAACTTGCTGTTATTTTGATACCAACAACGAATACACACACAAAAACAGGCAAAACGTCCAAAGCAAAACAAAATAAAATTCGCATATAAAAATAATTACATTTGAATAGCGAAAACAAAAAAAATTATATAAAAAAAAGAAAAACAAGCAAATTAAATAAAGAGTAGCGGAAAATTTATACGTTTTATTGTTATGCCAATAAATGGGTTAAAGAAAACCTATTTAAATTAAACGCGAGTCATAATGCTGTTTGAAATGTTTGTGGAAAATTGTTTCAAGAGGGTACAAATATAATTTGCATAATTCTGACCATGACAATCAAAAAAGTACTACCTTTCTTGTACCCGACACCAATTTAAAATGGTCAAAGAAGGGTCGTTTCAAATGGATAATAATACAGAAGAAGAACCTTCGAGAATATCTCTGGCCTTTGAAAGAATATAAGTAACTAGGTGGTTAGTTCGTCTGTTTATTTTCATTATTTTGACCCTTTTCAAGTCAGACTATCGAGATTGGAGCCGACTCGATATTTCTATTTTAAAAAAATTTGTTGACATTTATTTAATGCACTTGATTTTAGACTGATTTTGCTACGGCTTCTGTCTAGCTCATTGCACCGGAGGAGACAACTTGTGATTCAGGCAGTATTCAAAGTGAATGAAATCGAAATACTTTCGCAGCCGCATGCTTATACAACAGCACGGAACACATTTGGCGGGGGGCACGAACCATGGAGGCAGGTGCTTATTAATTTTCTCGTTGCTGTTGTTTTTCGGCTCACAGATATACATATGTGTGTATAGTATGCACATATTAATTGTATAATAACTTTTCTCATTTATTACTACATGCAAACAATTTTCTTTATTTAAATGAATTGCCTTGCTTGACTGGCACGCAATTTCACTTGGGTGTAAAAAAAAAGCGAAATCGTAGCGCAAATGATTATGGGGTTTTGAGTATGAGTAAGATTAGCCAAGAGTGCCGCTGGGACAGACTGACAAAATGAAGTGACGGACTGAGTGACTGACTGACATACTGACTGAACTTACTGACAGACGTGGCCAGCTGTAGAGCAAATGCAAATGACAGACTGGCCATATATCGTGCATGATATGACGGCAACTTGTTGCGGCATTTACCCTATTCCTTTTCTTTTTTATAATTTTCCAGACAAAGACACACAGACAGGCATATAGATAGATAGATATAAATATAGGCATCTCTTAATAATGCAATGAATAATTCGATTAAATTGTGCGCCGTACAGCGTCGATTGATATGTACAGGCTGTGCTCATACGGTGCTGCTGAAAATAGCACCGATTGGCTCCTAAAATAGTTGGCGGGGTAGCCTCTTAATGGGGTGTGGAAAAACAATAAACAGCCAGTGGCACGCGTCCATACACAGACAAAAGTGTGTTGTGTTTTGTATACAACTAATACGAGTTCAAATTTAATAATTTTTGCCCTTGGGGCCGATTGGAAATGTTTTGGTTTTCTGCTCGGAGATCGTCGAAAGACTCACCTGCAATTTTACGCTCGCGCATTTTGCGCCACAACGCCTCCGCCTTCCGTTTTGGCCAGTTCTCGAATTTTTGGGAGAAGCTCCTAAAGAACTTGTACTCCCGTATCGATACGGACATGCGGCGCTGCATTTTGACTAACGTTGGCAGCGCCGTTTTGCCTGTTGTCACCTTTTGCAAGTAAGTTGCGCGAAATACTTGACAGCCTTCACTGCCTAAAGTCTAACGCCAATTTTGTTCGTGTTCGAGGAGATACAAAAGCGAAACTTCTTAAATAGAAATCACACACATTCTGGCACTTGTACGCACTGTGTACACTGCACGGTTTTGATGTGCTTTTTTTTAAATGAGCGTTAGACCTTTTTAGCCGTTACACAGCAAATTGAGTCGCTGGCGTCGACGCGTCCCTTTTGCCTGCCCCGATGACTCGATGCGGCCACGAATGCGTCTACCGTGCACGGCGCCTGTAAGAGCACTAATGATTTTGCCCGCGCGTCCAAGCAAAATGGCAGTGCCGAGCAGTATCCGTACTCGACCCGAAGCGAGCCGAGCACCGGCAAGACGAGGCATACGCGAGGCTAGCAGAGGCGAGTCGAGTGCATATAGCACTGAACAAGTAAGCAACGAGGCGTATGAGCAATGTGTTGCTGCTTGTCTGACTGCCGTTATTCTTGTTCCTTGTGATAGCCGCTGGAGCTGCTTGTGATTCCCTTGCCGGGCAATTCTATCAGTCGGACAATCTCTTATTATTTTTATTATTACATATTATGTATTATGTTTAACATCAACCTGTGCCTTGTGGCTGGCTCTTGACTTCGAGAAAAAAAAAAACCAAAAACAAATAAATTAACAAATGAATAACTGCTGTCATGTTTGCCATTGCCATGCTTATTGAAAGGACTCGCACATGTACAAGCACATTCATAACCTCTCTATAGAATAGGGACAGCTTTTGTTTTAAGTAGTTGCTTTTTGCGGCCATGTACACATAAATTGTGACATGGGTTGTGAAAGTTTTTAAGTCGATGGCCAACCACACCTGTTGCTCATTCCGAGCCGACAATATGGGAAGGGACGCTTGTGGCTTTTGTGCCCGTTGGCACAGTTACTCGTTGTGAGTGCTCAACTTTTGTTATTGTCTTTTCAAAATACAATAATTTTAATATAAACTTGAAGCTGGTTTAATTAACAGCATTCTTTCTTTTTGATTGGCTTCCATTGAATTGGTTAATTAAAACAGCAAATTAGTGTTTAAATCTTAGGAAATCACAGAAGCAATTTTTCCTATTTATTGCACTTCATGGAGGGCATGACAAGACGCTTTATACAAACACGACATTGACACATGCTCACAATCGCCGCGTAATTCGTATACATAAATTTATGTGTGTATGTATGTCCATATAGTACTTGTGCGAATTTATGTATATATATCTTAAAGCATTTACTCAGACGATGAGCAAGATAAATAAAAATAAAATAAATGCTGGTAATTTTTATTTGTGCAATATCAGAAATAAATCACGAAATACTGCGTGTTAATCTTTTCAACAAAATAAACAATAAAATCAACAGAAGCAGCAACAACAACAGCAACAACAACAACAGCTGAAGCGCCAGCTACTTGCGATGCCTTCTGCTTCCGTTATGAAACGACAACGACAACCACAACAAAAGGCAGCCCAGCCTCCATTCAAATTCTCATGCCCAATCCCCGTGCCCAAACCCAAACCCAAAAGCAAACCCCTGCCCATCTCAGGCCTCCAACCCTGACAGTGAGTACATAATAAATGGTTTGAGTGTCATGTCGGAATGGCCAAATGGCCATAATGCGATATTAGCAATATAAATACAAGCGATGCTAAAGGCCACAGCATCGGCAACGTTAAGAACAAGTTGTTCTGACCTGACCTTTGAATGTGGCCACTGTAGTCGTCACTCTGATGACGTCACGGCCAGTGCAAACATAAACTCGAATCAGACAATCTGATTTGAACAAAAAAAAAAACGGCATTTTATGGCGTCTCTGCAATGGTGTTGCTGGCTGACGTCATCGTTGGATGCTGATAATGCTGCTGACGTTTGATATGTCCAAGCAGCGAATGAATCGAAATTGAAAGAGCGCCAACTCGGTCTATTGACTACTTGGCCGAACAGTTGACTGAGAGCACTTTGCTGTTGATTCAATTTTAGTTCATTTAAATGCCAGTTTTGGTATAAAAGAAGCCAAACACCCAAAACACCCACCAACGCCATCACTTGCCAAACACAACACAGACAAAACGTTTGTGTGTGCGTGTGTGTGTGTGTGTGTGCGTGTGTGTTATTTGTGTGTTGGCCAACAGCCGCATGCACATTGACAGATTGACAGTCATTCATGGTTCGCCATTTGTGTTGAAGTGTTGACGGAAGTGTTGGAGATTGGCAAAAGAGCTGCGGCTGCCCACCCCTGGTGGCTTTGATATTGCTGTTGTTGTTGTTGCTGTTGCTGCTGTTGTTGATGCTGCTGCTGTTGTCCAAAGAACATGAAAGTAATTTAAATGACAGCTGCCTCCCCCCCTCGCCTATAAGCTGTCGCCATTGATTGCCTTCAATTGTTTGGCTGCGAAAATCAAATTATGCCAACTGATTGAAAACGAAAGTTTGGACTGCGATTTACTACAGGCAAACTCGACTCATTCGTCACGTATGATTATGGCAGCAAGATGAACGCGCATCTAGGCAAAAATTCTAGTCATAATTATAGAAATTATGAAATACAGTCTGCACTGTTATTATAAACCACTCACGCTTAATAACAGGCCGCTAATTGGCTGGCAGGACCACCAGCGCATCAAATCAACATGCCACCATTCTACATACTCATATCTTGGCAATAGCCTTTTTGCAGTCTCGGGCTCGGGCTCCGGCTCGGCCTCGATCTTGGTAAGCCAGGCCATTTAAATAACTCATTTAGTGCATACAGAAACTCGTTGCTAGCCACTTACCTGCTAAATAGCGATCACTCTGCGAACGAGAATAGCGCAGCGTCTGTGGGATAAAAGAAGAAGAACATATTAATTTCTGATGATCAGCGGTATGCGAGTGTTGCTCGAAAAGTATATTGCCAATGGTATGTAATTATACTGATTCTGTTTTGGTTAATTTAAATCGCAAGGAGAATAATATCTTTCTGAAATGTAAGTTTATCTCGTAACTAGTTTGTACAAGTGTTATATTAAATGAATTATTTTAATACCAAAGTTAAGTTAATGGTTATAGTTTTATATGATTGGGGATACGTATATTGAAGTACGGATTCAAAATGCAAGTAGCATATGGGAAAAATAAAAATATTTATATTTTTATATAATATTGTCTGGGGAATATTTTTTATCAATTAAAACGGTTAGCTTTAGTATTTGTTATTTTGTTATTTAGTATTTATTCCTACTGTCGTATTTTAAAGCGTTCGGTAATTCAAAACAAAATCAGCTTGAATATTTTTTTAAATATTTACTTCATCAAATGCTGATGCGATCTATTACATTTATGTCAGGTGGCTCTCGAATACTAACCAAATGTTGTGCGGCAAAATCATCGCATCGACGACTCCGCTCACGCTCCTTGAGCAGCAGCGGGGCTGAGTTTGACTTGGTGGTCAGTTCCTGAATGCCGCCGGTGTCGCTGTGCAGCGAGGCGCTGCTGGGCGATGGCAGCTCCACAAAGTGATGCAGTTGCGTTACTGCCGCGGCTGTGGGCGAGAGCAGCGACTGGAAGGGTTCCTGGCGCAGTGCCAGCGACAGTTGGGCGCGTTCCTTGTGGTTGTGGCGCGGCAGCAGTTTTCTCGGCTGCAGCAGCAGTTGATGGTGATGGTCAAGCGAGAGGCTGCGCTGGTTGCGACGTGTCATACATGGTAGCGGCACCATGATGGGCGGTGCGGCGCTATACTTGCGACGCAGCACAACCGGTGTGGCAATGGAGGCAGTACCGCCGCTGGCACTGCTCGCATCGCCATCGGTGCAATCGCAGTCGCAGTAGTGTTGGGCCATCTCGAATTCATCCTGACATTCGTCGTATTCGGCGGCAGCGGTTTTGTTTGGCAGCGGCTTGCCTGTTTGGTCGTCCAGCATATCATCCTGGGACTCATTGGCTGCCTCGCCGCCACTGCCGCATAGGCTGAGCACCTCGAGCAGATCGGGATCGTCGGAGGAGGCTACCGAGCCGCTCTTTTGGAATTTCATCTTGCGAAGCGCCTCCAGGCTGCTCACGGACTCGTTGTCGGGCGCACTGCCGCCTGTCCTATGATGATGATGGTGCGAATGATGGTGCTGTAGATGGTGGCTCTTCCAGTAGGACATGTCCTTGGGCGGCGTGGCTGTCCCAATGCCGCTCTCATTATTGTCGTTATCCAGACCGGAAGAGTCGAGCGAAATGCCGGACTTACCGGAGCTCAGCACACCGGTTGCCTCCTCACAGGCCGAAGAGGACGAAGTGGAGCTGCGGGCAGAACGTATGGGAGAGTTTGACAAATTAATATTGAACAGAGAAACAGTAATGACTTTATTGGCCACTACTCACTTGTTATCTTCATCGACGGCGCCAACGCTGCGCAGTATGGACTCCTCTGATGTCCATATCGTTGAGGTGGATCCTTTTTTGGTCACATCCACCAGATAGCCAGGCGTGGCAGCGCCTTTCACCGAGGTCAGCTGCGTTCCACTTGCTGCAGATCCAACGGCGGTTGCCTTTGCTGGCGGCGGGGTTATAACATTTCTGCTCGTCAACGTTGGCGACGTCGCGACTGCTGCATGATTAATGCCCACCCGTTTTGGCATCGACATGGTAGCGGTTTCCATGTCCAAGCCACCGAATTGACGCTGTCGCCTAGATTTCAAATCATCCATGGTGGTCGGAGTTGATTTTGCTGCCGCCGCCGCTGTGAGCTCTTCGATTTTCAATGCGCTTTGGAAATTTGTCAGCTTATGAGTTGTTGACGTCGCTGCCGCTGTCGACGTCTCTGCATGGCCATTAAATGCGGACAGCGCCAGACTTTTGCGCTGGCTCTGTGCCCCCTGTGCCACAGTTGCTTTTGGTGCTGCCCCATGGCCGCCCGGCGCCGACAGCGTTCGCATATAGGCAACAACTTTTGGCTTGGCTGCTGCTGCCTCGTTGCGTCCGCAATCAAGGTTAAACGATTGCAATGGAATGGTTGCCTGCAACACGCAGAGACAGAGACAGAGAGAGAGAGAGATATATATTTATAGTGATGGTGAGTCAAGAAGGGAAGCAACGTATTAAAATATAGTCAGTCAAGTTTAATATAGAAAAGTCGACAGTGCACACCGCTGACAGATTCAAGGGGACGCAACCTCAACCTTTAGACGAAGGACCTTGAATGCATAATGAGCTTGAGCTGGAAGCGGGAGTCTGCTGACTGGTTATCTGTGTCTAGACCCAACGCGTTTTCACGACTTCAGCCGTTGCCAATACCCCGAAGACAGTTTGCGCACAAAAACAATGCCAAAGGAAATATCAATGGCATTTTTAAGCGTTGTCAAGTGGCTGCAGCCAAGTACGAATACAATCAGAATTTGTATTTTATGCAAATCGCAACAGAAAAACAAAACAAGAGAGAAAAAAAACCTCCATGGTGCAAGTAAGTTTTCTGTGGAATCTTCTAAAAGCCATTTCAAGTGGCCGACACGCAAAAGTAACTTTTTTTTATACAACCACTTTTTATAGTATAAAAAAATGTCCTATTGTTGTGGTTTATGATTTATAAGCTGTAGATGATATGACCCCGGTCTTCCACGAACTATGCAGAATATTTAAAGTGTCCAGCATTACGTATAGAGCCAGTAACTGTCCCGGGTTATTCGTTTATTGGTCTAAGGAGTTGCGCCTGTGGTGCATTCGCTAAGTTCGTTATGTCAATTCGATTTACAAGCCTTTGGCAAGCGATTGACAATTTACTTTTTGCTTGCGTTGTCAGCGCTGGCGACGACCAGCGAAAATTCATTTAAAAAGCAGCAACAGGCGGAAATTGATTTAAATGATTTATTGGCAAAAAAAAAATGCCTGAAGTGCGCATGTGTGTGTATGGCTCAAAGCATATAATGAACAAAAAATGAAAGAAAAAAATGTACAGCAGGTTGCTTTTTTAGCTGCTGTTGCTGCTGTTGTTGCTTGGAAGCACTCTCAGTTCCTTGGGGGCTTTTGGCGGCCGAAACTGTAACAACAGTAAAATGGCTAACGAGACTGGCAAAACTGTAACAGGAATATGACGAGAATACCGGGGCTTAAGGGAGATGGGAAAGAAATGTTGGGTATTTGGTTGGCGACCTGCTCTTGCTGCTTTTCGAAATAATGATTAAATCATGTGTTTTATATAAGGCAATGAGGTGGAAATTTGCACAAAATATGTAAGCGATTGTCGAACAAAAATGTTTTCCGAAAAAGTAACGAATTATGTTTAGTAATTATATTGATATGTGCCTAGTATATTCTGCTCAGCATTATAAACACATATTCGAGCCCAGAATCGTATTCACTTATTTGATTGTCCTGCTCTGCTCAGACGTGTGGCCATATAAGAAAGAGCTATAATGTAATTATTTGTACACAGGATGCGGACAGAGTGCCTGGACTGGAGGAGAATGCATGCAATCATCTCCTTAGGGACTATGGCTAGCCAAGGTAACACTTGCTGCCCTTTTTGCAGTGGCAGTTGCAGCTCCAGTTGCTGTTGCGACAATCGAATTTGTAATGCATTATGGAGCAGCTACCCGAATGCAGTCTGTGTGCGCTGCCTTCGATGAATTATTAATATAGGTTCGATATACTGACTCCGATGATACCGATACCGCTGCCAATACCCAATGGCGATCGGACAAACTGCGTGTTAATGAGCCGCCAACTCTCGCTGGCGACGCATTAATTGGGCGGCCAACCACCACATCTTTTATGGGCATCCACACATGACTATGTATAGCCAAGCAGGCGCCAGTTTCCAGTCACCACAGCTCCGAATGTTCTTCAGTAGATTATAAATTGTATAAATCGATTGGACTAATAAAACTTTTACATTTTACGGCTATTTATTGATGAAGTCAACCAGCCGGTTGCTCTTTTAATTTAGCGATTTTATCAAAAACTGAACAAAATTCTCAGTTATGCATTCAAGTTGAACTTGTTTTACATATGTTTCCCTGCAAGTCTCTATTCTCTAGTTTTTTTTTATTTTCGATTTGGAAATTTGTTGTGATTGAAATTGAAGCTTTTTACGATTGGGTCGAGTGACAAGGAAAATCAATTTTATATGTATTGCAGTAGAATTCGATATCCGAAACGCTGCCAAAAGCCAATTTAAATGCAATAAAATGGTAAAGATTTCTCACAACAAACGCGACAACGCGCTGCGATCTCATCGCCGATGGCCAAATGAAATGTTTTCTTCGGTTAGTTAATGAAAAATGCAATAAAATGAACACAAAATGACACAATAAAATATTGTCGTAGCCCTCTGGGGTTATCTGGGAAATGCATTGAAAATAGGCAACTGTAAATGCCACTAATTGATCATAAACTATGCGGACAGAGAAAAATTTGTGTACGCCCCTCTGCAGCTCTCAGCTGTCAATATGCGTTTGCCATGTCTCCATATTAAAATATTTAATGACAAATGCAATGGGCAACGCCTCAATGTTCCACATTCATTGATGTATGACCCAGAAAGCAGTGCAGGCAATGCTCCAACTCAGCCCCATCCGCACTCCACACCCGCAGCTGGACCAACTTGATACACATATTTATGTGTACGAGCCCGCCGTCCAGACAATCGCAAATCGATTGGACATGCCTCTGCCTGCCTGCGGTCACGCATGCCCACTGATAATAATTATCAAATCAAAACACTTAAACGCCTGCCCAGCCCCATCGTTTTAAGGCACATCTTTGCCAGGGGGCTTGCCTTTCCTTTCCTTGCCTTGCCTTGCCTTCATCCAACGCCTTGCCTCTTGCCTTCTTTCCTGGCCAAACTGTTGCTCGTCATGTTTGTTTGCCTTGGAGTGATTTGCAAGTTCTACTTAAGTCAAAACTGTCCAATGTCCGCGGTCCATTGATGCTGCTGCGGCTGCTGCTGCTGTTGCTGTTGCAAAAACAAAGTTGCACACACGTTGCCCATCAGAACGGGCATGCGTGAAAAGCTTTGTGTGCCCGCGTCCTATGTGTTTACCTGCCCCATGTGCAACATGTGCCTCAACTGCTCAACTGCATATCTGCATGGCTCGTCATCATTAAGCGCGGATTGCATTGCGCTGGCATTGCAAGCCACACATGCGAAGATTCACTTTCGCAGCACAATCTGAATGCGCCTCATAAACATCGCACATCCAACATAAATTGGGGCGTTCGGTTCCACTTGGTCTGGCACAGCAGCCGGCTCCAGTTCCACTGTGCTGACAGCTGGGCATGAGTGAAGTGTACTGCTCTGCAGCGTCTTGATCTTCGTTTGGATCTCAGCCGCAGGGCGGCATATTGACCCAATTCGCTACTCCACCTTTCGAAAGAAAGACACAAAAATAAACAAACCAAAAAAAAAAGAAAAAAAAGAGCAACATCTGTTTTTGCTTTACTTTCGTTGACAGTTTGTCGGTTTTTTAGCCATTTTCGGGCTCTTATTGGCAAACAAGGCACGCACTTGTGTCCTCGATAAGGTTGCCGCTTGCTGTTTTTGATTTATACAGCCATCGACTGCATATAAATCAATGCCAGCTCTCTGACTGACTGATTGACTAACTAACAGACTCAGTGGCTCACTGTGGTGCCTGGAGCGTGTACCACATTCTCTGCGTTAATTAGTGCCCTGCATGTTTTCTGCTAAGCGCTTTTAATTGGCACTTTTACTTGAACGATTGCTGCGAAATATGACAGCTCGGCGGCCCACGTTTTGGGGCCAACAGCAGCAGCAGCAAAAGCAGCAAAATGTCAAACAGTCGCCCACATTGCCTGCTGCAGTTCCTAAAGGAAATCAATTTCACACAGCTGCTGCTGCTGCTCCAGCAGCCTGGTAGCACTTTTAGCTTTTAGCGTGCAATCATGCCCGAAACTGCGCCAAATATTTCACAAGCCTGCCATGGAATATTTAACAGTCGACATGAGTTTCCTGTTGCAGCTTAAAATTAAAGACACGCTAAGTGACAGACAGAGACAGCGCCGGAGATAATGTGTGCAGAGTAGAGATGGTGAGCAGGCATGCATATCATTAGCACAGAAAATATGCTTGGATAGCGCAGAGCGTATATTAATGTATATGTATGTAGTCCTAGTGTTAATGTAAGAGTTAATTGCTTAACTTATGTTAAAAACTTGGCGGCATACAACAATAATTACTCCAGCCATGAGTCGTGTTAGCTCTATTTCAGTTATATTTTGATTTGATTTTTCAGTTCCCAGAAAGGGTAGAATCAACTTGTAAAAAACAGTATAATATATATGTCTGTCTCTGTCTATGTATCCAAAGATCTCAGACACTAAAGATCAAAATAATTTCCACACTAATCAAAACTTCGACTTTGCTTTTTACACAAACTTTGGTGCAGAGTAACTTCTAGTCGAGCCTTATCTTGTTAATTTGGTTGCTTTATTTTTTTTGTTGGTTTTAGTGGTATTTTGGTGTTGTATTTTTCCACTGGCACGCGTTTTGAAAATTAATATTTGCTTTGCTGGTGTTTTTTTTTTTGTTGAGGTTTTTCTACAGATAATCACAACCAGCTCTGAGCGAAATGTATGCTAAACATATGCATCAAACAACAACCAACAGACGACAGACAACAAAATAACTAAACAACAACAGGAGACCACAAACTCAGTGCCGTTTATGAGCTGCTTTGGCTTATAAATGTTTTAATTAGATCTATTTGATATGATAAGTCAGAGACAGCTAACAAGTTGCTTAGGTTTCTGGGCTTTGGTTTATGGTTTAGTCTGGATTAAGTAGGTCATCGAGTTTGGCTGTGTGTGTGTGTGAATTGAAGCTATGACCGCAGTTGAGTTGTGTCTGAGTCTAAAAGAGTTGTAATAGCTGCAGTTTCATCAGCTTAGCTTTGGGCTATACAATAAAAACAATACATAGTTGAGGAGTTTGTAAATTGTTCTCTTTTGGAACAATCATCCATCAATTGACTTTTAATACTCGACTCTTAAGGAGCTCTCTAATTAGACCATTTTATTACACATTTTATAGCGCCGCCAGTCAACGATTCTTTTACTTTTCACATTTCAACCCAAAATGCAACTGGTCGTCGTCGTAAAACTCGCCGCTGTTTTATAAACCATCAATTCTCTATCTATTCAACAGTTCAAAGTTTAACTCATTCAAGTGGCACTCTGGAAATGACTGTCTATCACCGCCCTCTGCTGCCTGCCCCTCCACTGTGTCAGTTTCTAGCAGCATCAATGCTGCTCATAAATTTCACGCGCTTCACTTGCGCATCCGGCACTGCCTCCAAGCACAGCATATGGCACATATGGCGGCAGTTCTTCAGAGAAGAACATTCCTGTTTTTTTTTTGGGAATATGCTCGTGTTGGTTTTCTTGCTTTTTTTCTTTTGAGAAAGAGGGCGTGGGGCTTTGCATTATGTGTGGACAACATTGTTTGGCTTTAGATTAAATGCCTTTGTTTTAAGCGCTTTTTATCTAACCTATATAAAATGTGCATGTTGAAATCGTGCCAGAGATTACAAGAGAATCCAAGCGATTTTATATATTATGAAATCATAGTGTGGGAATTTATGATTGCATTTAACTTACATGCTTCTCCGGTTTCAAGACGAGTCCGTTTTGACCGTTCTGCTGCTGTTCTTCGCTTACAACTGAGCTTGGGCCCTTGCCAAAGCGACTCTGCAGTGCTGCGCTGGCTGCCGCCGAGAGCAGCATGGGCGCTGTTCTGGACGTGGGCGAGCTGCTGGTCGACGCCGAATCGGAGTCGACAATGGCTGCTATATGCGGTGGCAGCTTATCGCCACCCATCAGATTGTCCAAATCACGTAGAAATTTGTTTGCCCAAATGTGCACATCATCCGGCTGTCCAGCGGCTGGCAATGTCATTGTCGAAGGGCGTCGACTCGTGCCGGAGACGATGCCTGATTCTGGACTTGGCGGTGCTGGAGGCAAAGCTCTTAGTTTAGTTGTCACTGTTTTGCTGCTGTTGCCTTGCGCAGTTGTTGCTGCTGCTGTTGTGGCCGCTGTTGTTGCTGTGGTGCTGCTGCTGTCAAAGCCGCTATCAGATTCCGTAGAACGCGACAATTCATCAAGCTGTTTGGCTGCCGCGGCTGCTTGGCGTACCGATTCGAATTGCTCCTGCAGTTGCTGCTGTAAACGCTGCGCCTTGCGTAGCTCGAAGACCTCATTGATTTCCAGCTGCAATTAGAATACCAGTTGTTAGTTAGCAGTTGCACATAAATTCAGAGCGTTGCCCGCGATTGGTTTTGATAGGAGCTCTAATTGCGATCATATATCAAGGTAAAATAGTCGACAGTCGGTAGAAGCAGAGGTCTATTAATCGCTCTCTGCGGTGCTCCAAGCGCCAGATTCTAATGGATCGGCCTATGATGTATGTTTGCTTAATTTGCCCAACATAAAAGACGCAAACGCAACCGGGAGAGAGACATACAGACAGACAGACAGACAGTTAGGCAGAGACACGATCAGACATTACTTACATAGCGACACAGACATGGGCACAATCAAATACAAATAAATTAGAACACGACCGCAAAAGGCATACAAAAAGGTTTTCCAAAGCAAAAGAAAACTGCAGCCACGAACTGCAGACAACAACATCAATGACACAAGAAGAACAACTAAGACGTGCAGCAACAGCAACAGCAGCAACAACAAACGCAAATAAATTAAAATGAAGCAATTTGTTAGCCAGATTAAACAAAAAAGCTACAACAAAAGCAGAGTGCAGAGTTTCTAAAGAAGATCAGACAGAGGACCCACAGGGCTAACAAAGTCAGCGAATTACTTAATTAAAAATCGTGGCCCTAAGATACAAAAGAATCTGCTGCGAGTGCACGAGAACTCGAAACAAGAACGAAAACGGGAACGGGAACGAGATCTGCCCCCAGTACCAAGGCACAGTGACATTAATAACGTGCCGAGCTCATTACTCAACAATTGTGTTTGTGTTTCTCTTATTGTTGTTGTTGTTGTTGTTGCTGCTGCTGCTGCTGCTGCTCTTGCTTTTGTTGCTGTGGTTGGCCCTTGCAGCAGACAAATGCGATCGGGCATTAGCAAGTACTAAATTCTCAAAGGTAGACCTGATCTATTGGTTGCGCCATGAAACGAAAGCGCCGACCTGGAACTTGGAACGTAGCGCGTCCTAGCGCTTGCTCTTGGCCAATGATTTTTATCGCTGGGAATGTTTTGGCACAGACGCTGCCTCATTTGTCCTGCGCGTGTGAGAAGTTGTCAGCTAATTTGTACAGCAGCCAGGCTGTGTTGGAGAAAAAAGCCAACTACACCTTAACAGACTTTCCCATGATGGTCCATAGAAATAGAACAGAGCAATCAGTGATGGGCAAACATTAAAGTAACGGTTAACTTAACTACCGACTCCAATATGTGGCATCAGTATACTCTGTCTAAACTTGATCTGGCTGCTTACAAAATAGTTGGCAGTTAAGTTAGGGCATATAAATGTGTATTAGTTGATATTCCAGCACTCGCCATTGGGGCGATCTCTTGAGACTGTATTCATATTTCCCAGTTCGCCAAAACGCGTCAAAGTACAATAACATTTTCTTTTTATTAATTTCATGGTAGACTGCGCTGGCCAAACAATCGCAACAAATACACACACACACTTGGTTGGTTGCCCACATGCAGTACCAAAGGTCCGGAGCGTATTCCCAAAACTCAACGTGCAGACTGGACAGCATCTTGGCTATAAAAAGTGAAGTTGCTGTGCAGGCACTTTCAGTTTCTAAGAGCAGAACACAGCGGTCGCACAGCTTCAAAGTGCCCGACGAGCAAAAATTGGAACAGCCTTTTCCGATCGAGGCAGCCCAGGGGCAGACTTCGAAGAGACAGAGCCAGAGCCAGAGCCAGAGCCAGACTGTAGCAGAGTCCACAGACAGCATGAGGCTCACGCTCGTTTGGATCTGTGTCTGCCTGGCGATTTATTGTAGCGGCGGTTTCGCCAACAACGGCCCAGGCAATGTGGTCGTATCTTTGCCACCATCGCTTATCGCTGCTACGGAGGCGGTGGCCTTGAGACAAAAGCTGAACCACGAGCGGCCGCTGTGGAAAAAGGATGCACGCGTCCTGTTTGACAGCAGCGGCAATGGCAACGATGCACCGCGCGATATGGCGCACAGTAAGGAGTCCGCTTCAGTCGAGGGTAAATACAATTTGCCCTACAAGAGCAACACCAACAACAACAATAACAACAATGACGACGACGCTGACGTCGAAGTCGAAATGCAGCAGCAACTGCGACCAGCGGATTTTAATCGAAAAGCACTGAGCGAGGCTTATGATTTAGAGGCACGACAGCAATCAGCACCGCAGGAAATTGTGCCGCGAAATGGCCAACAACTTGGAGTCAAATATGCCACGCCCCCGCCACACAAATACTGGACAAGTCGCTGCCCGGCCACGAATGGTATTTGTCCACGGGAATACAATCGCGCCATGCTGGCGGTCAGGTGAGCTAAGCTAAGGATGTGTCTGCCTCTGGGTGGTAATCAGTCGGGTTAAATCTACATGGTAACGGGTTCAAGGTAGCACCAGAAAGTGCCCTAAAAAAAAATAAATAAACTTTCTCTCCTCAACTCAAATCGCATGTAAGCCAATTAAAGCCGGTCAGCAATTTATCAAGCGCGTTAAGTCTAAAGTTAAGTTCAGTTCAGTTTGGGGGTAAAACCTTTTGAGTATAGCGCTCGGGCGCCATGCTTTAATCGCAATGTGAAAAGTTAACAATATGAGCAACAAATCGTCGACAATTTGGCTGTCGACCAAAAACACGCAAAACCAATTAATGGGCGTGAAAAAATCAGTTCGACGATTGCAGTTTTGTTTTCTGCAACACCGCATCGCATACATATGTTGATTTATTTTATACATTTTCGCAAAATAACAACTGTCAGCAAATTCATTGGTCCAAAACAAAACAGCGAAAAAAAAGAAACAAATTGCAATGCGCATTGAGCTTCACTTTTCATTCAGCTTAAAAGTTGAAAGGGAGCCCTCCTCTCGCCATCCGTATAGAGGTGAGAATGGTTTTTTGTTTGCCAGACAGTAAATTTTCATTGTGGCTAGTAATAATTATATTTAATTTATGTACGCATTTACTCAATACTTGGGTAGCTGTTTAATTTGATATGCTACCAGTTTAATGGTTTTAGATATTCAAATATTTGCATACTAATTATACTGTGTACCAGACAAAGTAAAAAGAGTATATTGGAAGTTTGTATTATATTATCAATATCATAAGAAACTCTTAATCTTGTAACATTAATAATATCTTTAAAATATTATATCATAATTTATGTATTTTATCCCGTATTCAAAAATAATTTAACAGATTCAAGTAGTTTAGCTTACCCGCCTATTACGCTTTTTAAAGAGTATTGCGTTGAAATATGATTGGTATTGGGAGCTGCTATTAAATTACAATTAATCATTTCTTCTGTTTTCTTCGTTTCGTGCCTTTGTTGATTTGTTAAATGCGTCGATTAATTGGCCTTAAGCCCGCATATTTTTCAGTTGTTTTGTGCCTTTAATTTGTAATTTTACACAGTAATTTATAAAAATGGAATTGCCTAAAATCGTCTATTGATTGGATGAGCCTACATGACAGCAAGATTAACGCAGAGCCAACAGCTAATTCTGCATAGCATCTTGGGGCTGGGAGGTCTTTGGTGGCTTTTCTGGGTCAGCTGCTTGAGTGGCTGGCATTGTTGAAGACAGCCCACGTACACAGACATGTTCATCAATTTTGGGGCAGGCACTGCGTGGAGAAAAGAGAAACGTTGCGACAGCCGTGCACGTGTAATTGAAACCTGAGCAGCCCACGCACCATCAAAAGACAAATGTTTTTAAAGATGATGCACAATGACGATCCTTAAACTGACGTCGCACAACAAACGATACATCATTAATCTTCACTCTGGCATCTCAAAACTGATGTTATAGAATGTCAAACAGCACTACAAACGATTCCATTTCCATTTTACGACAGAAATAGAGAAGCTGTCGCCCGTTTGCGACATCAGCTGTACGATATGCAGGATCAGTTGGATTCTAGCAATAATGATGCTACCAGCGACATGGATACCAGCGACTCAAATGAAGATACAAACGTGAAGAACTCGAACAATGAAGTTTTCATGCTGCTAACGGGCGAGCAGGATCTGGCGAAGTTCCTGCATTGGGCCATGGTGCAGCTCTATCCCCATCAGCATCCGAATGATAATTTGAGCGCAAGTGCCGCTGAATTTTATCACCCAGGCATGTTCATTTGGAAGACGTTCAACTTCTCAGGGCACTTGGAGCCGCCGCTGATTGTGGACGAGCCACAATATGTGCTGGTGCGGCGCGAGAAGCAGGATCAAAAGGATAGCTACCAATTGGGCGGTGAGCATGAATAAATCATAATTCCCGGGGCGAATCGAGTAGCAGGGTGTTGAATTTGCAAAGTGCTACAGCCTCTAGTTTATTTGAGTGTGCTTCGTTTAATTTAAAATGCATGTGGCATGGCATATTTGTAACTTGCCTCGAACTCGATGCACGCATTAAATTGGTTATTCTTCTTATCTCTCCTTTTGTTCTCTCTCTCTCTCTCTCGCTCTCTCCCTTAACTAGATGATTTAAAAGTAAGGGATGATCCGTTTATACCACCCCGAGGCCGTAAGTACACTTCACCCGATCTGGAAGAGCTCTTGCAACGCCACGAGGCATTTGTACCGAATCGCGGCAAGCGCGATAAAGTCAAAGATCTGTTCAAGTATGACGATCTTTTTTATCCGAATCGCGGCAAAAAGCATCGCGAGATTTTCAAACTGGACGATCCCTTCTTTCCGCATCGCGGCAAAAAACTGCATCTGCGCGATCTGTACAACATTGACGATCCATTCTTTCCGAATCGCGGCAAGCGAAATGTGCTGTCGGCTAGCAAGTGGGGAAAACTACAGAGAAAACTACAATCTACAGGCAGAGACAAGAGCAACGACAACAGCGACAAAGGCGACAACAGCGACAACTGGCTGCAAAGAATGTCAACGCATGAAATTAATGGTAACGATCAATCAGTCAAGCCATCAATGTCAGCCGACGATGCAACTGAGGGCGCTAGCTTGCAACGTTTACTACAACTGCAACTGCCACAGTCTGCTAATAGATTGCAGCCGACAAGATCAATGTCAGCAAATTTACAGCGCCTGCGCTCCATTGTCAATCCGGGCATGCGCCATCAGCAGTCCAAGCAGCAACAACAGCAGGTGAAAACATCCTGGCCAGCTGGGGGCTACCAGCATCGCTGGCACCGATCTGTGCACGATGCCCGCGAGACACAATTAACGCGGGTGCAAAACGCTGCTAGTGCCGGCCATGATACTGACATTGACATTGATTATGGCCAATTGGACATGTAAATGCTGCGATGGCGATCGTTTTGTAAGCGCATATTTCGGCCAGTTCCCTCAAGGCACTCGAGTGTTGTTTCTCACTACGTATTTTGTTTTTATTTTGTGGTGCACGAAGGGTCAGTAAAAATGTATAAAAATAAACCAAAAAACAAAAAGATAATAAAATAAAGCATGCAATTGATTTTGAGTAAATCGAAATAATCGAAGGTTACATGACTGCCCTTGGGGCCTTTCTAGAATTGTGCTGTGAAGGTCTCTGCCCTTCTGGCAGCCTCATAGGCATCGTTGTTTCTTTTTGTTGCTGGTTTTCTTCTTTTTTTTAATTGTATTCATTGGCTAATTTATCGCTAAATGCAATCAGCATTGTGCCAGCAATTCAACTTTAGACTTCGTCGCAGACGCAGACTCCACACAGCTGCAGCATGGCGACGCGGGCGTGGCACGCAGTTGCTGTTGCCGATGCCAAGGCAGCGATATGTCCGCTTCTCAGATATGCAGCTAGATAGAACAACACACAGCAACATCAACAGCAACAGCTACAACAAAAGCTACAGCAATGACAGCAATAGCAAAAGCAGAAGCAGAGCTGTGACTACTAAGGTCAGGCTGCTGCCATGGCTGCCGTTGCAATGTAATCCCCAAAACGCACATCAATCAAGCGGCTGTGGCTTTAGCTTATTAGCAAGCATTGAACCTAAAAATATCAAGCTGGCAGCTAGAGGAAAACCAAAAAAAAAACAAAAAAAAAAAACAAATACAGAAAAATACAAAACAATTTTTAAGCCTCCGTTACAACAGCAACTGAATTTTTCCACTTCAACAAATTTCTGACATTGACATTGACCAGTTGGTTGCCTGACTGGCAGTCGGCATCCAAATCGACAACAACGTCAAAATATTTGGAGAGACGCAAAGTCTGCTGGTCAGACCAGACCAGACCAGACCAGGCCAGGCCAGGCGAGGCACTCAGTCAGCTTAGTTCAGGCCAGGCCAACTCTTTGTTTTGTACAAATGACCATTGAAGGTCATAGCAGCCAACAACAAATTGGTTAAATAATACTCACAGCAAACAGACTCACGCACACACCTATACCCATTTTAAACAGATGCGCATCAACGTCTGCGTTTCGGGTTTTGGTAGCTTGACGTTTGTGATCAGTCCAAAAACATATGAAGATCATCGTAATTTCAATGGCACTTCAGTCTGGGGGCAACCACCACACAACTGAACCCAACTCGTTGCTTGGCTAGAAAAATGAATGCAGCAGTTGATGCTGTGGGTACTCAACTGGGCAATGACACTTCGAGTGATCCACCAAAGTGGTCAAGAGAGCAATCACACGTGCAGCTCTGCATATATGTTGATCGTACATACAGTCATGCTTGTATGAGGTTTGCCTTGAGTTGGGTAAGAATTTTGGGGGATTAATGTTATTAAGTGAGGTGGGTTATCTAATACGAGCTCAATAATAATTTTAGAAATGCTATCTATCACATCGATACAAATTGTAATCAATATTAAACTGATATCTAAATATGTTTTTTTTAGAAATAACTTAAATTACAGGATTATTTAATGGGTTTTCGATTGGTCAGAAGATACATTCAAAATGAATTATACAGAACATGCTTATTGAATAAACCAAACTGAATAGTATAAAATAAGATTACACAAAAAAGATGTTATCTTAACGAATGTGTTTAGGAACTCTTAACGCCATATAATCATGATTTTGGTCTGACGCAGAGTCTTATACTATAGTATGAACAGTTGTTTACCCTTACACAATCGACACCTACATCCGTTTCACAACCTTAAATAAAATAAAAGTGAAAAACTCACCATACTCAAGTGTCCAAATATTGCAGAAACTTATGGCCATCCGCATCTTTCTTTTTTTCATAACTTTTTTACTCGTTTGTGTTTGAGTATTGAACCAAATGTGTCAAAAGTGAAGATTGTACAAATTAAATTTCATTGGCTTTGAGTTTGCGCTTTTAAGGCTGACAGACTTTCAAACGGATATCACAACTGCAAAAACAACAACAGCAACTACTTTGTGTCACTTGGACTTGACATTTGCCGAGTCAGTCACAAAAAAAACATACGGCCCAAACCGTATGCCAGTGCAAAAAGAAAGTCCATGCCCAGCAAGAGCACAAACTGTGTGGCAGCAGCAACCATTGAGTCCAGTCTCAGCAAATTGGCGCAATTTTTGTGGCAATAGTTTTGGGTTTTGTTGCAGCTGATTTGCTTGTCGGAAAATCTCAACGCATTGTCAACAGTGCGGCAATGAGCCGAATGCTGTTGACAACATGCCAGGCACAGGCTGAGGCTGAGTCTGAGACTGCGACTGAGTCTGGGGCTCAATCTCCGTTCGGGGCGCGGGTGATTCAACTGGGCGCACGGCAGCAACATGCAACTGGTAACTGGTAACTGCAACTGTAACACGAGCAGCATGAGTAGCTGGCAATATTTGACAGCAGCTTAATTGCTGTCTGCAATTATGATAGCTGCTTGGTGAAATTGTAGAAGCACAGTAAAACAGTTGAACTGTCGGACAGTCGGACAGCTGGAGAGTCGCTTCACTTTCATTTGATTTGTGGCAATGACAGCACAGCAACATGTTGCTGCTGATTGTTGGCTGTACACTGTTGATTTGTTTTTTTCGTTTTTGTTTTGTTTGTTTATTTGGATTCATTTGGTGCATGGCTGCGATTTCTGGTTTATTGTCTGCATTGGGACACGGCGGCAACTCCTGGTTGACAAAAATAGTAACGTGCGCGCTGGCACTGCCTTTTATTGCCATTTGCCATTTGCTGTTTGCCGTTTGCTGTTTCCATTGCTGTTGACGTTGACAAAAAAACGTCATTTGCAAATTGGGCAAAGACAACTTTCTCTAGGCAGCTGCGCAGACGCAGTTACAGGCGCAAATTACCCAGCTCCAGCTTGAGCTCAAGCCGTTGCATAAAGTTATAGACTCTCAGATAAGTTGAAGGCAAAAAGCGTTTCGCCCACATTCATTAACAGCATTCGCATAATTGGCTGATATTTTCGTGGGTTCACTGAACCGCCCGATCGTCCGTCCGTCAGTCCGTCTCAAACTGAGACAATTCCTATGGGAGCAGTTGCAGCCACCGCCACCGCCTCAGCATTTGGTTTTTTGAGTTTTACGTCTCAATTTCAGATTGCCGCATTGTCAATATCTATAATTAAAATCGTTTGAGAACACACGCAAGCCTTGTTATTGTTGTTGTTGTTGTCGATAGCTTATCGGATTTGGTTTTGAATGGCTAAAAACGTTAGACGTTGAAGGCATGATTGAGCTGATGAACTCGTCGGCCCGTTAACGAGCGCCAATTATTATTGGTGTTTGCCCGTTGTTAAATTATGGATTATGTACGTGCGTGCTTGCGAGAGTGTGTGTGTTGGTGTGTGTGCGCATAGCCAAAATGCAATACAAGCGTTAATTGATGCAGGAAGCGCGAAGCAAACGAGTTGCCAGCGCTTGTCATGTTGCATCTGTTGCAAAGGCAGCCCACCCGATATGCTGCACGCTTCGTTGCCGCGACTAAAATAGGTCAGGCAACGACGACAACGACAATATTGTCGACGAACAACAACAACAACAACAACATCGCCGCCTCCACAAAACGCATTTCATAACTAGGCAAATTAAGCCTAAGGCCACGACTACAACAAGCGTCTTACCCGAGTCTTACAAGTAACGGCAATTTGGGGCTAAAGTGCTGCACTATTTGTCATAATAAACGCGCGTCGCACAAATGAAGGCTCGCGCGCGGTGTACGGTGCTGCAGCGGGGCCACCAAAAGAAAGCGACTTCCCCCACTCTCGTGTGGGCAGCAGTGTGACACATTTTGTCATCATTAGCCACAGTTGCCGGCTAATAATTTCAATTTAGCCAAAAAAAAAAAAAAAGAAGAAAATAAAATTAGCCGCATTGAGCTGAAATATGAAAAAAGGCGTTAATAACTGAGTAGTACGCGGGGCCAGGGCCAAAGTCAGAGCCAGAGCTAGAGCCAGAGCCAGAGTCCGAGCCATAAGCCGACAGCCCACGCCAGCTAAGCAACACTAACGGCAGCAACAAAACCAAGAGCAGCAGCAACTGCAAGAACAACAACAAAAACAGCAGCAAGCATCGCATGCAACGCCTTTCAGGGCGTGGCTGGCAGCGCGATGGGTGTTGAGGCGATGACACTGATTATAAAATGTGCATAGATAGCGTGCAAGATCGGCGACCTAATGCCAGTCAATAGCCATACAAAAATGGCAGCCAGAGTTAAGCCAAAACCGCATCGCAAACGCCCGCAAATAGCCATCGATATATGAGTGGTTGGGTTGACACACAAAATGACTATGCAAACAGGATTGTTGATTGAAGACCTACATGAACATTCTAACTAACTGTTCGCTGTTTATTGAAAAGTCATAAAAGTCAAAGTAAATCATAAAACTGTGATTTGCAACAATAGGATAGAGCAATATTCAATTTGAAATGGATAGGAAAAGATAAGCAGACTTTCCAGTTCAATAAGAAATGAATGACAACTGCGTCCGCTTTTGTGGGTTAACTATTTGAACCGTTAACTAAAGCGAGTATCTTTAAAAAGCGCGCGCGCGACTTGCGTGCGTTTTCTGCAGTCTTCGGGCCCCAAAGAACGCGTCAAGTTGCGTAGAACCATAAACGCAATGCTAATGAAGAACCCGTGCGTGCGCTACTTCCGCTATGGGCAGAGCAGCAACTTGGGCTGCGGACAAATTTCATGCGAAACAGTTATTAAAAAAACAACCTAAAGCTGCGGTCGGCCGTTGACGTTGACGCTGACGGTGACGATGTGCCTTTTGAGTGTGAATGTGTGTGTGTGTGTGTGAGTAATATTGCGCTTTCCGGTACAAAAACATAAAATTTTATGTACACGACGCTGACAGCGCTAACGACAACGACAACGACAACGACAACAACAACGGCAGCAACAGCAACTGAGACAGCAAATAGCAACGCGAAGAAAAACAAAAAAGGCTAAGCGTGCAACGCGTCGTATGCGTTACACATTACGAATACGCCGCTGAGCCCCAAGTGTTTGTATTTGCTTTAACACATTTTTCTGTCACGCAAAATAATCATTTGCAAAATCACGCAGTGTTGACAGTCCACCGAGAGAGAGAGAGAGAGAGAGAGAGAGAGAGAGAGAGAGAGAGAGAGAGAGAGACTGTGTGTGCGTATAGCAAGGGGAGACAAGCGCATGTAATAGCCAGGAAGGGGACTAGCTGAGGCCGTGGCAAAGTGAAAAGTTTGTGGCGACAGCAACTGTCGCTTATCATTATATGAAAATTTATGAAATTGAATATTGGCAGCGAGAAACAAGTGTAACAGCAACAGTTGCCGGCTGCATGGCCAGCATGGCATGGGAACACAACAATCTTTTTGGGTCACAGCTAATTGAAAGGGCTATACAACGACTTTTAGTACTCACCTTAACACGCTCCAAATAGTCCTGGAGTGCACCGTACGGATCCTCACCATCGTCGTCTATCAGGTCGAGACTGTGCGCCAGGTCCAGATTGTCTAGTGTGGCCAATTTGAGTTCGGCCTTATCCGCAAATTGCAGCTTATGATGTTGCTGTGGTGCAGCTGAAACTGATGCTGGTGTTGCTGAAGTGTTGGCGGAGGGTACACGGCTTAAGAATTTCTTATCAGCTGTCATGGCTGCTCCTCCTGCAACATTGCTTCCGTATTGGCGAGTGCGCGGCATAGTTGCACAACCGGTGCTAAAAACGCTTGCAGCTGGCGCAGAAGTGGCAGATGAAGTTGCCGTTGCCGTTGCCATTGCCATTGCTGTTGATGTTGCCACGGCTGCATCATCAACGTCCTCGTCGGCCGCTACATCACTTAATCCCGATTTGTAGCGCGTCGTGTCAGTTGCGATAGTCGCACTGCAGACTGACGTGATGGCTGCTGCCGTTGCCGGCGGCGTTGTGTTGCCGTTGATAAGCGTTTGATGTTGTTGCTGCTGACTGTTGTTGCTGCTGCTGTGACTGCCACTGCTAATTGCACTTTTCACATCGCTTGTCATGGTGTTTTGATTTGTATTGCACTGAATTTTACTAAATTTCTGGCCGCTGCTATTTTGCCGCGCCGCGTTGACTCCGATTTTTTGTTGTTGTTGTTGCTCTGAAAGGGTAAAGAGAGGTAGAGTGTAAGAGGGGGCTTTTGTATTTAATTTTAGCAATTATTCTCCAGCGAGCGAAATAAAGTTGTCAATGCACATACACACACACACACATATACACTCAACTGCAATTATTGTTGCCTCAACATGTTGCTCATATTTTGCTGGCAACACTTCATACAAATGGCGCGCCCAAAAGACACATTTCTATAATGACTTTTACAGCAAATGAAAAATTGCGTCAATTGCGCAAAAAATGTGCCAAGTTGCGGCTGCCCCCATGTGGCAGCCATCGACTTTAAGCCAAATCCGCGAAAATTTCTGCGCTAATCGCCTCAAATTGTTCACCGAATGTGTGCCATTTAAATTGTCATAAATTTACGAAACATACTCGGCTCATGTGTATGGACTTATATTTTTCCAATTTGTGACAGCCTGTATGCAGTCTGTGTGTGTTTGCAAATGATTTAATTAATTTCTGACTGTCATAAAAATGGCAAGCAATTCTTTGCATATTTGATAATATTGCTCACACTCCTCAATGTTTATCGATGCCCCCAATTGTACACAATATGTATTTATTTTGCAGTACACTCATTGCCGCACCCAACAACTGTCTGCCAATGGATTTATTTCTTCTCGGATATGGTTCTTACAAACCAGAAGTGAAATACGAGTGTGTCAGCTATTAAATGAATACGAGTCACCCTCGCATCAAATATACTACAAAGTGTGTAATTTCATAACATTGTGCTATGACAAATCAATCAAATTTAAATTCCGGTTGAGGACAAATCCCTGAACATTTTACGATTTGAATTTAGTTTCTTATTGGTTTCCGTTGTCATACGGAAAATTGTCATTTTGAAAACCACATACATATATAAGCTCGGTAGCAAGGGTTCTGAATACACATACACACATGTGCTCAAGTGTGTGTAACCCATGCATAGAAATAGTTGATATATCTACATACAGCAGTTCATTGCAATTCTTCAGCCCACGTGGATATGCAAATAGGCAAAAAGGTATCGCAATGAATCGCATTAAATATTCGCATAGGGGCAAAGCGTCTGAAGATCAAGTGAACTTTTTATTTGGCGTCTGTCCGTCAGTCGTTGTAGTCGCCAGCTCCCAATCGAATGCCAAAAGAGAACCCTGCAGGCCGGGAATGTTTGTATCAATTTTTGTATGGATATATGTATATGTGTGTGTGTGTTATGTATATTTTTTCTTGTGGATTTTATAGGTTTGATATTATTTTTATTTTGTTTTTATTGCGCATGCGTGCGTTCGATTGAGTTTGTTGATTAAAATGTCGTCGCCACCGTCGCGACTTGTCGACAACAACAACAACAAAAAGAGCAACAACAGCAACAGTAAATGCGACGGGCCTGTTGGCAGGCTCAAAGATTTGGTTGTATCTTGGCTGCTGCTGTTGCTGCTGGTCAGCGTTTGGCATTTAAAAATTCTGAATCGCATGCGTTACACAACAAACACAACGACCCGTGGCGAGCTCGTAAATCAGCGACGCAAACGAGTCAGTCAGGCCGAAGACAGCGACAGTTGGCCACATTTTATGGGGGTCTGGGTCTGGCCGGAGTCAGCTGGAAAGCGTTCGCCAATTGATCGTCTTGTGGCGATTGGCAGGCCGCCAGGCCAGGCCAGGCTGGGCCAGTAAAGGCCACAGCACAACACAGCACAGCAGAGTAGAGCAGAGCAGACCCACACTGGGCTGCAGTTTTCTTCTGCCTTTTTGGCAATATATCAATTGTGCAACGCTAACGGTAAATTTGGCAACTGACTGCTCTGTGGTACATATATGCATATATGAGTTTATGTGTGTGTGTGTGTGTGTGGGAGACGCGTCGAAAGTTCATGGGAGGTCCCCACATTTTGCTTGCCCTCCAAGTTGGCGACATATGTGTGCGCAGTTTGACAGTTTCTTGATTTTAGTTGGGCATTTAATTAGCACAAGCCAACGAGCGGAAATAAGTCTCCCGGCCTTTGTTCTATTTAATGGCTGGCCATAAGCAATTTTTAGACTTTGCGACTCTACAAATATAAATATAAATACAAATACAAATACAAATACAAATACAAATGCAAACAAAAGCGAATGCGAGAAAACAAAATATATTTGTACTTATTTGCTTATTGACTTAAAATAAAATTGTTTACTGGGTGTGTCCGCTAAATGGCCACTGTCCGTCAGACTATTGTTCGTGGATGGGCGTGTGGTTTACTTTGTTATTATTGTTGTTGTAGTAGTTGTTGTTGTTGCTGCCGCCGCTGATTGATTCTGTGACTGAGGTCACTTAAACGTGATTACTTGCTCAATGCACAAGGCATTAGCGGGGCAGGGGGAGTGGTGTCATTGAACGCAGAGCAGATGTCATACAACTGCGAGGGTTTCTCAAGAGTATATTGAGTGTGGGCATGACTCAAGCAAATATTGCTAATGGCGACTCCCTCTTAGGCCTACCTCAACAATAACAATGGCAACAGCAGTTCTACAGCTGTTGTTTGGATTATACAAAAAAGAAGCAATGCGAAAACAAAATAAGTAAGTAAACGTGTGCAACAGCAGAAGCTGCCACCTCCTTTGTAAATACAATGAAAATCGCTGAATCGTTAGAGGAGGCATCCCGTCCATTATGATGATGATTATGCCAACGATTATCAATGGTTGAACAGATCCAAATGAATACCGCTCATTTTATGAGCTGACAACGTCCGTTCGCTTTGGACAACGTCGTCGCTGTTGCGATGATCAACAGATTGGTGCCTTAAGCCGTCATACGTCAGCTGGCTAAGGGCAAGAGCCCTGAGCCTAGCTTAGCTGGAGTCGAGTCCAGTTCAGCTTGGCTTTCAAGCCTCATTTGCCTATCAAAATGAGATAATATGCGTTCATGACGTCGATCGCGGTGTACGTGTTTCCTGTGTTTCTTGTTGTTGTGGTGGCATGTGCAAAACCCATAACCGAGAACTGACAATTGGCAGCGGGTGGCAATTGTGAGTTGGCTGTGGTGCGAGTCATGAGCCAAGTGAGGTGCACTTTGCGGTTGGTGACAGTCTTTTTTTTCAGTTTGTGTATTTGTGTTTTCTTTTGTTTTTTATATTTTTTTATTTGGGGACGCAAGTGCGTCGGATAACTGCACCCAGCTACAGTTGGTAATAATTTTTTATGCAACTCAGTTAAATGTCGGGTCTTTTACGACATTTCCAAATGCCAGACGAATGCAGACGTACTGCTAATAATAAAAAAAAAATTTTCTTTTATTATTAATCACAATTTGAAGTGACTTTTTCATGAAAACTTTTCATGCCGCTTTAAGTGGCTTTTTATTAAACATTGAGGCATTTAATTGATTTGTAATAGAGTCGAATGTGTTCCTGTATGTGTGTCTGGCTGTGTTATGCAAAAGGTGTGTCCATGTGAGTGTGTCAGGCTAACGGAAATTCATAGCTCAACGTCATGCATAATTCATATGAAATTGCAGTCAATTTCTTTTGATTTTTAATGCGCCAAGCTAATAAAAAGCAAATAAATACAACGAAAATAAAACTTGCATGTGTTCGCTGACATTAAATATTAATCACTTAGGAATTTTATAATTCTGAAATTTCCAGAATCTGTTTAGCAAATCGTTAATGAACGATCAAGAAAACCAGATTGTCACTAAATTACATTTAATTGATGTCATTAAGTATTTTAAGTAATTGCCCTGAAAGTGATTCAAATACTGGAGATTCTGAAACTGATATTTAATTCAACTACGGAATATTTTTCACAATATGTATTTGTTGTCTCAGCCTACTGATGTAAAGGTTCAGTACCAGGAAATGACTGGACGATGTGCTGGCTGACCATTAAATGTGTGTTGCCCCTTTGGGATGCATGAGAAGTCTATCACACGGAAATTAGGCGTCAGTTTTGCAATCTGAAGCTAGTCATAAAGCTCAATTAATAACTTATTGTTAGCTATTAGTTAGCCTAATGACTGTGTACTCAGCTCGTGGCCGATTTTCCCACAGCAACAACATTTCCGCCCAGACACTGGCGACAACGCAACTTAGTTGCCAAAGCTGATTAAGCAGAGCGAACAAAATAACAAAAAAAAAACAAAAAAAAACTCACCATTTCCTGCCGCAAAGGCGGCGATGCGCTCCCTAACCGAACGTCTGGGCTCGTCGTGGCCATTGCTGTTGTTGGTGTTGTTGCCGTTGCAGCTGTTCGGTTGCAGCATATGCGTCGCAGTTGCCGGCGTTGAGTCATGGCTAGGACTACGCTTCACCATTGTCGTTTTGATCACAGTCTTGAGGCGGCTGGGTGTAGTCGGACGTGCTGCTATGCTGGGCTTAGGTGTTGTTGGTGTTGGTGTTGGCGGCGGCGTCGGCGATGTCGATATTGTTGTTGCTGCTGTCAATGTTGCTTTATCGCTGCACAGTACTTCTGTGGCAGCACCCACAAACTCTTCTGCTGTTGCTGTTGCCGTTGCTGTCGCTGTTGTCGCTGTTGATGTTGCTGTTGGCAGTGTCAACCCACACTCGCTGCTTGTGGCCGTTGCTGCCACGTTCGTTGTTGTTGTTGCTGTCGTAATTGTCATTTTATTCTGCGACGACTTCGGTGAATCAATTTTCGAGTTGTTGTCTTTGTTGTTGTTCGTTTGGGGCTCGGCGTCGTCGGGTAATTTACAATAATTACAGCGCGGCTTATTGTAGTTGTTGTTTTTGCTGCTGTTGTTGCTTAGTGTATTTTCCTTATTGCTATGTTGCAGTTGTTGCTGTTGCTGTTGCTGTTGCAAGCTATTGCTAAGTCTTTGGGTTGTTTGTTGCTGTTTTTGTTGTTGTAGTTGTAGTTGTTGCTGCTGCTGCTGCTGCTGCTCATTGCCACTCTGCTGGCAGTTTGTGACAGAGCAAGTTTTACTTGTAGTTGTTGCTGTTGGTCTTGCTGCTGCTAGTTCGCTGCTACGCTTGTTGCTGTTGTTGGTGCTGCTGTTGTCTTTGTAGTCCTGCCGCCATTGTTCAGGCACATTTCGTTGATTCATTAATATCAGCGCCACATTTCCGTCGTGGTCGTTGCTGCTTTTGTTGTTGCCACAGATCTCAGCGATATCATTTGGCTCATCATCATCATAATCATTGCAATCGTAATCACTTTCGCAATCTTGGCGTCGCTTGTTGTTGCTGTTATTGGCGTTGCTGTTGCTGTTGTGACTGGCGCGTGGCACATCATCAATATATGTAAAATCGCTATCAACGAATATATTTCTAGCATGCAGCGTATTTGCCGAAGACTTGAACTTGGGCGGCTTTAGAGTGTAGCGCCTGCGTTGCGGACAACAGCAGAACTTGATGATTGCTCGCGGCGATGTTGGCGATAGCGTTGGCAGCGTCGGAGTCGGCGGCGTTGCAATGTCAGCCCATTTCTCGATCAATGTCAGCTCACGAGCATTGGTCATTGTAGTATGGCCATGAAGTGTGATTCTGCAACCAGAAGACAGAAAGTACAACGTAAATTAATTGCATATATGTATCAAAGACAGACAAACAAAGACAGAAAGAGAGAGATAGAGAAAGATTGGATTATTAAAAGAGGAGGGATGGGAGTTGCACTAAAAATCAATTAACCACATTTCTCAACGCATCTCAGCTTTTCACCAGAGTTTCCTCATTCCTGCGCCGACTCTGTCTGCCTGCGCTGAAAACCAAATTCGCTGCGCACATCAGTCGACTCACACACACACACACATACACACACACAGAGAGCAGCGCCATCTGTGCGTCATGGTAGCTGCCCCTCGTTTAGGCGACAGGAGCAACAGTTGCCGACATGTTTTAATTGCAAACTGCTTTTTGCGCAACACTTTCGAATGCGGCTTAGAAGTGACCGCCAAATATGTTGCCAACCGGCAGCCAGCAAGCAGCAGATGGCAAACAGCCGCCAGTTGGCAGTTGGCAGCAGCTCCGGCCACATGTCGATGCATGATTAACTGCCGCGTTAAGCTGCCAATGGCCGCGGTCTGCATCCATTTAATTGCATTCGCTGCAGCAGCAGCAAAATATTTGCCTGCAGGGCAGCCAGAGAGCAGCAGGTAGCTGTGCCACGCCTGACGCTTGCCTAATGCGGCGCGGTTCGAAACTTGGCTAACGCAAGCATCCTTGCGTGTTGGCGCTGACCTTTCGAGCCGGCCGTAAAAGCTTTTGTGAAAGTGCCGCAGCAACACACTGAAATTCCTTTCACCAGCAAACCTACAGCTATTGTGTGAGAGACTGTGTGTGTGCCACGCCTCTTGTCAAATCTATGACAAATTAATTTCAATTGTCTAATGCACTCGGCTTATCTTTCACTTTATCGATTGCCGAACGACAGCGAAAATAAATTAACAATAAATAATTTTAATTATTTCATGAAGATGTCAAATTACATACACCCACGCAACAAGGCGAAAGCCTAAAAGCCAAACGCCACACAGCACACAATTGTTTACCATGTGTGCGCCAGGCCCAGGGCCGAGCCCGTGTCCCCACCCAAGCCCCCAACCACAACCCCAACCCCAACCCGTAGCCGTACTCGAGCCTGACTCCGTACCCGTGCCGACATGGAGTGCTGCGATCTTTGCCACTAACTGGCGGTTATTTTTGAGTCTTTGCACAGCTGCACAGCGCTCTTTGTATTTATTATTATTTCTCCTTTTTTTATTTATTAAATTTTTTGCCAAGGCTTTTAGTGCGCCTATGGGAATTCGGACAGCTCTAATAGGATTTTGTAAAGTCCGCTGGGCTCAGCCGTTGATGTCAGTACCACATAAATATATGTACATACATACATATATACATATAAATAAATGCGCCATATGCCTGCTGGGAAATTTCAAATTTGGCTATCTTTGTTTTTGTCTTTGTGACGCCCTATTTATCGCCGACGGGTCTCATATTACAACTAAACTTCATTTATTAAAGTTGAGAAATTACACAAGAAGCTGCCAATGGGTGTGCTACCAACGATTTGTCAATATTTCATTCATGGCATGTCACAAACTATGGAGCCTGTCTCATTTAATGACCAATAAGCCCCGAAAAGTGATTATAATCAAATGGGAGAACTGGACAGCATTAAATTATGCTATATGGTGGATTATTCACAAATCTTAAGGAAAGTCCAGAGGTTAACGATCTTTCATATTTTAATCCATTGTTAAATATTATTATGGATCAATGATCTCATACATTTTTTTTTTTTTAATTTAGTATGGCTTTTTATGTGTGTCTCATGCTCGTAACATGCCTGATGCACACATTTTACTATTTTCGACTTTAATTGATTTTGAAAAATGGAAACCTGCGAATGACTAGAAAATGTTATCATACTTTTATTACTGTACGCATTTCGTGTTTTTCTATTTTTTATACACCTATTAAATGCCCCTAATATACCCCTTTAAGGCAATTACCACATGAGAAATGTCATTAAAAAAACGACAAAAACTCAAAGTATGCTGAAACCTCAAAAACCCCCCGAAAAAAGTGGCTGCTGCCTTCATTGTTTATATTCAATAAATCCAAATGCGGCATATAATCGCGTGCTTATATATATGATATTGTGATTTATGACCCCAATGCTTCGATCTTGTTGTTTGTTGCTGTTTTTGTCACAAAGAGCACAAAATTAATATTGAAAAGCTACTAAATCCAGACTTACGCATAAATTAAAACTTAAGTGGGCTGACAGTTTTTGTTGTTGCCGTTTTTATACTATTTGTATGCACAATAAATGCATGAAAATAAAGGAAACAGCAAATAAAAAACAAAAACCGACACTGAGCACCCTTCTCGCATGCTTAACTCGTAATTTATGGCAACGAGAGCTGGAAAACACATTTCGCACATTTCGCAATGCATTTCAATGCATTTCGTTTGACATCGTAAATACATATTTGTCAATGCACTTCAAGACGTGTATAAAAATAAATACAAATGTATGTATGTGTATAAATATAACTACTAAATATATATACACATATATCTGTGCATAGGAGTAGAGTAGCTACTATATGTAGTTGATTGATTGAGCGCATGCGTGGCACGTACATGACTCGATTGGATTATTTATGAAGTCTAGACGCCCGATTTGGCATACTTATAATTAGCATATGAAAAATGTGGCAAACGCTTGCTGGGACCTAAGGCTGCGAAATAACGGTAGCAAAGTTCTATGAACCCGGCCCGCAGCGCAATTGTCGGTTTAGGCTAATTGAGGGGAGCTGATGGCAGCCGCTTAATGTCAGCCGGTCCGTCACTTTGGCCGGGCCGGCCATCGATCAATCAAGCAATCAATAAGTCAATCATATGCATGAGCAGTTCAACAAAGCGCATACAAATTGCCGCAATGTCTCCAGCTTTTATAAGTGCATTACAGTTGTGCATCTAAAAAGTTTCGCTTTTCAATTGAAGCATCGCGGACCGAGAAAGAGCCGCAGCATTGTGCGAGCGAGCGAGAGAAAATGAAAATATAATATATATCCAATAGATTTATAAAGGCGCATACTGCGCGGGAAAAGTTTCTTCAGCCACGGGCACATTGGCAATCAAAGCGACAGACATTAACGCTCCGGCTTCAGCTTCAGCATCGGCCTTTAGGCTATCCAATGCGCTGTTGGCCACGTACGTTGGCCCGTTAATGCTGCCCATTAACCCGCTGACCCCGGGAATTGACTGGCTGCTGCATTGCGTGGCCGGCCAGCTGGTAATGACTCTTTTTCTCTTTCTGCTGTTTGGCCTCTCATGCGCTCTCTTCACGCAAAAATGCGCAGAAGCCAAACGGTTTGCGGATCTGCCATTTGCCATTTATAACAAGTATTGGCCCAGTGCAGTGCCGGGCAGCTGCTGTACTCGAATTTGTTGCCAATTTGCTGCGATACAACACTTTGTTGTTTATCTTTTTCCTCTTTTTATTGCTGCTTTGTTGCAGTTTCGGTGTTGTGGTTTTCGCCCAATTAATTTCCGCAATTCCCAGACAAACTTGGCAATTAATTTTTCCGTTTGCATTTCTTCAACCTTGTTGTCTGACCTTTTGGCTCAAGTGATTCACGCCAACGCCATCTGCCATCCGCCAACCGACATCTCTACACGTCAGCTTCACCGTCACCGTCACCGTCAGCATCAGTGTCAGCGTCATTTTGGCCTAACGAGAATGGCCGTGCTCTAAGTCGGCAATTAATCAAAGCGCCTTTGGCCACAGACAAATCCTTTTGTATGTACACTCGCCAGCACTCGTGCTCGTATATGGCCAAGCAAACTGACAACGCAAATGGGCAAAATGACAGCGGGCCCGATCCGTGTCATGAGTCAGCCAATGCGCAACGGTAACATTAACATGCGTTCGGATTTTGGGCGGCATTTCTTCCAGCCAAATGCTCAACGACTCTGCCAGTCAACACACAGTCGCCCAACGGGCCCCACCGTGCCAAAGGCCACAGACAGCGATGGCTTTTTATTGAAATTAACTTTGTTGCCTATTTATAACTCCGCATTGGCAAAAGATCACATATGTTTAATATCTCATGCACTATGCATAATCTTGTTTAGTTTGCTAAGACTACGCAAGACTTCTTTCATAACGTTTTTGATCTAGTTAAGGCCAACGGATGTGAATGTTTTGGCTAAGTTATGTACACACAAACCTGATGGCAGCATCAAGTATTCTAAAACTTGATGCTTGACAAATTCACAAAGACGGGGAGATAACTTTGACAAATGCTCAGCGCTCAGCGATTGTGACAGTTTTAGCGGATTCGTAATTAAGCATGCGCGCGCATGCATAAATAGCATAAATATGCAGTTAAAGCAGTGCAAAAGACAAAGCTTCCACGACAACCATGTTATGGCTGTTGATTTTCGCCAAACATTGCCACAGACTCTGCCACTGTCCCGCTTTTGCCACACTCATTCAGCCACACAAACACACACTGTCAGTCAGGATGACAAATTGCGTACATCGAATTGGCTGCTGGCATGGCATTTGCGCATATTAAACTGCTGGCCATGGTGCTGCTGAAGGTAATTAAAATAATGCAGCTAAAGATGTCAAGGACTGGCGATGCCAAGTGAATGTTAAATGGTTACAAATGGAGCAGCCAACATGTGAGGGCATGTCACTTGCAACAATGAGTGGCACCCACATTTTATGTATTGATATCGTACGCCACCATGCCTATGTATTTAAACATGTATGCTGGCAGCTGAGTGTTCACATTACGTTTGCATTTGCTGTCAACACAATTTCTTCAAATTACATTTTATTATTCCAATGCTAGTTGTAAGTCACCGTTTGACTTATATTTTGAAACAATTGTTTACTTTATGTGAACTATGCAAATCTCTTAAGCAACAAACTCTTTGTTTAAATCCGCATTGCGTATACGTAATTTGGTGCTCATTTTTTCGCATATGCTTTTTCTAACAGCACCTCAGTCAAATGGCAATAG